TAATGTTTTTACCCAAAGTTGGTTTGTTAATAATCTTTTTCTGATACATTATGATACAAAATTGGCATACCTGGGAGAGCATTCTAGCCTAGATTTGCATGTTTATCTTTAGTGTATTTTTTCAAAGCCAAGGGGTTTTTTAATGGTGGGGAAACACTCAGTTTCATTCCTTGTAGCCTAGAGTGGAACAGTTGGTAGCAGATGCATCTTACGGTGCATTTCATCTCTTAAACTGACTCTTTTCTAATTCTATTGACTGTTTGGTTCTACATCATCCTGCTCAGAAAAGGATTTTTCAGGGCTTTAAAGTTGTGACAATTGGCATATACTGTCATTAGTTTATGACTGAATAAAGAAATTCTGCACAGCAAAACAGCCATTAATACTATAGATGAGTCTGTTTACCAACACTTGGTGTAGAAAATCAATGCAGCTTGGGAATTAAAAGTTTACATATTTAGGGCATAAGAACAACTGAAGAGGATCTCAATAAGACTGCTTAGAGGCCTTTATATCAATCTTCCAAGCCATTGCAACATTTTATGTCTATGTGGTAGTTCTTAGTAGACTGAGTTAAAGCACCCCTGATCATAACATGGTACCATGTTTTATGATTATGTACTGGTACACAAGTTAAGAATTTATATGCTGCCAAAGTAAAATCCAAGTCTGATTTGCTCAGTATGTATTGTGGCTGCTTGAAAGTTTGTTCACCACGAGAATCTACCAATTTTACCATATACCAGAGAACCACCTTTTTAAATGGCTCATGGTGGCATGGTAAAATTAGATTCATGTGGGTGAACTGCATCAGATAATACAGCTAGATACAAGTTAAAGGCCCCTTCTGCCTGTACTGCTAAACCTTCATTTTAGCAGTAGATACACAATGGGCATCAAGCCTTAGGCTTGTGCAGTTTCCCCCGACCAATCTCCTTTCAGTGTGGTCACAATGACAAAATAAGCCATTTTTGGTTTTAAATGATCCAGGGCTTCTCATAACTTGGTCACAAGAGTATTTTTTTAAAGATTTGGCAGCTAGGCAATAATAAAAATAGAGGTCAGTGCTTTTAATTGTGTATCATTTTTTAACTTCTGACTTAAACTAGGTCTTTGGTTTTAAGGTACTGCTTTTTGAAATGATGCATTAGTAGTAAAATAAGAATGGGGAACTTGTGGACTTTCAGTTGTTTTGACTTACAACTCCCATCAATCCTGGTCAGCATAACAAATAAGGGACCATGGGGTTTGTATTTTGTTGTTATTATTACATTTATATCCCACCTTTCTTCCTCTTGTAAGCAGCCCAAGGTGGCTTACAATTTTCTCCTTTTCTCTATTTTATCCTCATGAAACAACCCTGTGAGGAAGATTGGACTGAGAGGTTGTGACTGGTCTGAAGTCATTCAATGAGCTTCATGGCAGAGTGGAAACTAACTAGAATGTGTCCAGTCCAACACTCTTAACCATCACACCACACCGGCTCTCAATGATTTAGCTGTAGGCTAAAACATCTGGAAGGCCACAATTTGCTCACCCCAGTGTGAAATGTTGGTACATTAAGAAGGAATACTGAGAATGGACTGATAGAACATGTAAAAAAAATTCTAATTACTTAGAATTCTACAATTTTTGTGGTTGTTGCTCAACTCCTATTCTTCATTTTGTTGTAATTAGAAGTCTTACGCTTTGCAATCCAATCCGTATGCATTTGGAACCAAGTCCCAGGCCACTGAGTTCACTAGTGCTTTCTCCAAAGCAGATCTGCATTGGATCACAACCTTATTTTATTGAATATCTCTTTACATACACTGGATATTTTTGTTTCCCTATTTTACGTTGTGTTATCTCTGTCCCAAATTGCAGGTGTGGGAAAATTAAGTATCTAAAGGATAATACTGTTTTTCTTGTCTCTTGGATATTGTTTAAACACTATTTTTCAACTTTGTGTATGTCAGTGATTTTTTTAACATTGGAAAAGTTGAAGGATAGTAGTAGCAGTGGACACAGCAGATCTGACTCATTCTGGCATTAGACACCTTTTCCATTTTTCTTTCTCTATAGTACATTACCTAGTACCATGGACTAGAACTTGTCAAGTACTGAACACTTCATAAAGGTCTTAATATTTGATTTAGGCTCTATGTTTTCATTGGTGATCCCACTGCCATTTTAAGTGGTACCAAAAGAGTTGGCAAACTTCAGTTGGTTCAATTTCAGAAGGCTTCAGCATGCTGCATTGAATAGTGGCACTTGCACTAGTGGCACTAGGAATGGCTGTTATGTAGAATACAGCATCAATAGGAAAACAGTACTTAGCAATGCTGTAAGAAAAGTGTCTGCAGTGGTTAACCCTAAGACTCAGTGTCTTGCAATCAGCAATCTTTACATGAGCATGATTCTAATGGGAAAGCTGACAACTGCATTTTAGTGTTAAAAGCCAGCCATTTGTCATCTCAGCCTAGGAAGCCTGTTGTTAAACATTTGCCTTAGAGTTATTCATGTTGACATATCCTGATCATGGATAATATTTCCTTGAGTCATGCCAGCTGAAGAAAACATAAACCTAGAATAAGGTGTATTTCATATGCCAAAAAAAAAACAACAAATGAACATACAACCCAATCCTACAACCCCAAATAAAAATATAACAGCACGGTTAGTTATGGCCACTTCTTATGCAAAGTGAATCACTGCTAGAAATAACGTGACTAGCAATAGCCACTTGTGTGGAGCTAGTTACATTTTTAAAACAATAGTGGAATAATACTATAAAGTCTTGTCATTGCTTGTCTTGTGCCTATTTCATAAAACAGTTGAATGGGGAAATACTGTTTCTTTTTTGTGGTCTCTGTGCATCACACGTATGGGCTCTGTGCCTGCATGGAGCCAGTTATACCAGGAAGATTCAACAGCTAAGAGCATGTTTGGTGGAAACCTTTCCTCCACCCAAGTATCCATATAAGGGAGGTGTTACCACCATTTTCCTCAGTTCATTGACCACCTTTGGTACTTCAGGAAGTTCTTTCTTGCTAGTTCTTTTCTTCTTGCCCTTGCCAAATTTAGCATCATCTTCTGTAGATCAGTTATTTCTCCTCACAAGCTCTTTCCCTCAAAAAACTGACCCTTTCTGACCTGCCAGGAGCTGGGGAGAACCACCAAAAGCAAAACAAAAACAAAATAACCCCCCACCACCTTTGTGTTCCTCTCTAGTGGACCTACCTTATAACTTTTACCTTAATTTTATCTTCTCCCTTCCTTGATTCTCAATGGAATTAAAGGTGCCATTCAGGAAGTGCATGAGGTGCAGTGCTAAGCTGCCTCCAACGGATGGGCGCTTGCTCTGCTTGGGTGAATGGGGAAATGCTATTTTCAAAAAGAACTGAATGGGGAAATACTATTTTCTTAATATACTCTGTTCAAATGACCCATGTTCAGGAAAAAATCTGCGTAGAACAGATTATTAATTATTTCTAAACATGAAACTTTAACAATTTTTGTGTAGCTTCCAATATGATTGCTCATTCTTACAGATAACTTAATAGTGAGCTAATGTTTGTAAAACTGAACATATGTTCAAGGTATGGGCACTGGAAAATTCTCATTTTTCTATTATGTGGTGTCTTACTAATGGCAAGTTTTCTTCAACTTAGTGTTGGAACAGAAAATGAATGGAAATCTGGCGGTTTCCTCAAAACAGCTGTATCTTAGGTTACTTGGGAACAAATTCCAGATATCCTTGAATAACTGTGAAACCTTACTATTGATTTTAAATACCACTGGAAGGAAGTCTGGAGAATGTATACATAGTAAAAGGATACTGGGAGCTGCAGTGGCAGAAACAAGTTATCCATGCAATAATTCAGTGTAGCTTCACAGCTACCCTGAATGTGGTGGCAGATGTTTCATAAGCAAAGTTATTAGCAAGTTAACTTTAAAGTTATCTTCTAAATGCACTCTTTTAACTGTCCTGCAGCAATTTGACATACATTGTTCAAATACATAGACTGAAGTGAGCATTTTGCAATTTTTTTTCCTAGTAACTTTCCTGGGGCTGCTGTGAAACTCTAAAAGCTGTCTTTTTTGTTATATAAGCATTTTTCCTTCCCACTTGTTTGCAAAAGTTAACATATCCCAGGCTGTGAATGCATTACGTTCAGACATGTATATGTATTTTATTCTGCTTTAAAACTAAGATGTAAAAATTGTATATAAAGAAAAATGTAAATAAAATATTTTTAATCTTTATGGTAACCTTTTTTAAAACAAATTTATAGTGCTCTGGCCTTTGGGCAATACACTTCCAAGCTATTTTCCTTGATCATGCATGTTAGCCTCACTGGAAAAGTATTATTAAAGTATTCTGTGAAAATGGTAACATAAGAGTATTGTGTGCTGACTGCATTTTTGTAACATTCTAGTCAAAATTAAGCACTTCAAAACTTTAATGCTCTTAACTTTTCCTTTGAAGCTGATGTTTAAAGCTGCCTAACTTCTATATTTTGTCAAGTGTTGTAAGACTGAAAATTTGAATCTTACTGCACAATCAAATCAATATATAATTATAACAGTATAAATTTAAAGTAGAAAATCTGGAATATGGTTTCATAATAGTGGGCATTGGGCACTGAATTCAGTAAATACTAGATTTAATGTTCTGCATAGCATAATTATCCCATATTTGTTTGTTCTTCATTATACTACGGTGTAGAAATATGTCTTCTAATTTTTACCTACCTGGGTTCAATCTATTATTTCCTATCCAGATAACGAAGTTGTTGCATCCAAGAATAATTGCCTTGGATGCATCATTTTTGAATTCCAGATAATCCTGCCTCTATCAGTCAAAGTAGGCATGGGGAATCAAAGGGCTGCAGGTGCCATCTTGCCAATTCCTGTTCTTTTTCTATTGCTCCTGTTTCTTTGTGTTTTCTTCTCTCTTATCACTTGCATACTCAAGGCACATTGCCCTACTAACTTGCCTAATGAAGAATCTTGAGTGAAATAATTTTATTATTTATTAATGTTCTTCTCATGGCTGTGTTTACAATGGGTCCACGGCAGGAGATTTGCATACTATAAAAAAAGAATAATATATATATTCTATTTGCTTTCTACAACTGTTTTATTCAAGTGGAAAAAGCATGGAGAAAAATATTTATTGTAGGTCAGTCTTCCCCAATATCTTCAGTTCGTAGAGATTTGGCCCAGTCATACAGCTCTACTGCTTCTTTCTCCCAGTCTTCAACTGAAAGTAGACTTACAGTGCTTGAACCTTCAGCAAATAAAACCGTATTTTCTTTCTGATCACTTAAATGTGGTTCCTGAATAACAAAATTACAAATTATTCCAAAAATAAATTTCAACTCTGGAGTTAATTTAGCCTCATACTTTCCCCTTCAATCAGTGTTGGGTGTTTGCAAAGTGTATCAAATCAAATGCAGGAATCTAACCTAAAGTAGTTCCTTTAATGAAGTGGTACACGGGTCAAGCTCCTTTGGAAAGCAAACTTCATTTTGCAGTAGTATGGTTCGGTAGGTAAGTGGCAATTCTGAATTGCCAGAGGATGCCTATCCCTAATGCAGACCAACAGGCCTAATCCTGATTCCCTGTGTGGACACAGCCTGGGAAGAGAAGGATGTTTACTTACAAAACTGATGTGAGTTATAAGTAGTGGGTTATCTATTCAATTGGTACGGGAAAAGTATAGTATATACTAATTAGTATAGTACAGGAATAGAATTTACTATTAAAATGTAATACCTGGGCTCACGACACACTTGGATAGAGCATTTTTGTGATATATCTGAATTAGTTCTTCTTGCTGGGCCACTCTACAAACCAAAATCGTCCCCCAATCTTAGGGTTCTGAGGCTGATTAACCATAGTATATTTAGTTGAAGTTATTACATCTGAACCTGGCCTATGTCTAACAGTAAACCCTAAGTATGTTTACCAAACCGTAAACCCCACTGAACTACAAGATATTTTCTTCCAAGCACAGAATTAGTTTGTTTAAAAACATTCACATAAATATGAGCTACAAGAAAGCCCTGGGAATTGTCTGTAGTCCATTCCAGGAAATGAACACTTCTTGTTTTTAATCGCTCAGTTTGCAAGATCTACAATGGCTTATTCCTGCCCCTGCCCATGTGTGCTTGTCATGTCAAGAATGGCTTGTGCCCATAGTTAACAAGTCACCCCCAAACTGTAAAACAGCCCATGGGTTCTGGGTGGTTTGTTAATGGTAGTGACAAGCCGCCATCACCAGATGTGGCCAGCTGTGCCAGCGAGGATAATTTTGCAAATCCCTCAGCACATATAGTGGGAGGGAAAAAACCCATGTGGCTTATTTCCCCTCCTGTGATCATGTGGAACAGTAGACAGTGAGCTTCTTCACAATTCTGGTAATGAATTCTGGTAAGTCTAAATATAATGCTTTAACAAAATTCATAAGGTTACTAAAATATCACATTTGTTTGGACTAGCCTTCATATTGCAATTTGTATATTACAGAGTTGTTTGGTCTAGGTGTTCAAGATAAAAAGTAGTTGTGTACAGTAGTGAACTTTCTTTTTCATATTTCGTGTGTGGTCTCTATAGAGCAAGTATCTAATCCTTACTTCAATGTTTTAAAAGTCTTATTTTTTCAACAATTTTTTTTTACAAATATATGCAAGTAAGTAGTGAAGTGGCCAGGTATGCTGTTGACACACAACTATTTAAAATAAATAATTTTGGTTGTGATTGTGAGGCTCTCCAAGCTGGACAATGGGCATCGAAATGGCAAATGCAAGTCAGTGTAAACCAGTATAAGGTAAAGCACACTGGGGCAAAAAATTCCAAACTTCAAATATAGGCTGATAGGATGTGAACTGGCAGTGACACAGCAAGAAAGGAATCTTGGGGTAGTGCTGGGCAGGCATAATTAGCATGGCGTACAATCTTTGGTATGACCACACTTAGAATACTGCGTTCAGTTCTGGTTGCCTTACCCAAAAAAGGACACTACTGAATTGGAAAAAGTACAGAGAAGGGCAACAACAATGATCAACAAAGGGGCTGGAGAAATTCCACTATGAGAAGTTGCTACAACAACTGGGACTGTTTAACTTAGAAAAAAGGGGAGCAAGGAGAGACATGATACTGGTCATTAGTTGGCATGGTGTGGAGAATGTGGAAAGCGAGAGATTTCTCTCCCTCTCCCATAACACTCAAACCCAGGATCACACCATTGGTTAAACTATAGTTAAACTATGGGATTTGCTGCCATGGGCAGTGGTGACGGCCACCAATTGGGATGGCTTTAAAAGGGATTTGGACAGATTCCTGGAGGAAGTGGAAGCTATCAGTGGCTACTAGGCTTTCTGGCTGAGTATTACCTCTTTTACCAGAGGTGGCATGCCTGTATACACCAGTTGCTGAGGAGCTTGGGCAGGTGGAGGTCTTACACCCAGCCTGCGTCCGGGAACCTGTGGGCAGCTGGCTTGCCACTGTGTGTATAGAGTGTACTTTGGTCTGATGCAGCATAGCTTTTCTATTGTCCTTATGCATTATGTCTTTAAACAGACAGGGAGAACCCTGAGATTTAATACTGTTCATCTGAAAGCACTTTAAAAAAAAATGTATTTGCTTACGGTTCCTCCTTTCTCAATCCTATATGCTTTCCTCATTTTTGCAATCTTCTGCTTAGCTTGGCGAGAACGACGTTCAGAAGGTCTGCACACTGATTTTTGGTCTATATTTGATAGAGAAGCAATTGTGCGACATGGTGTTGGAGATCTAAAAGAGAACATGTTCTGAACATGTTATTTCAAACAACCTTACTGAATCAAATGGTTAGCACTTTTCACAGAAACTGTGAGGATGGCCCTGCTTTAATGTGTCTTAAAACATGGTGATGTTCTGAAGACACATCTACAATACAATGTGAAGCATATCGCCTCAACAAGTATTATGGCAAAGTTGCAACAAAAAGATGTATTCTCTCTTTCCATAGATCTTAAGGTACGGGTCCTCAAACTGCAGCCCGGGGGCCACATCTGGCCTGTCATGCCCATTTATCTGGCCCAGCATGCCCATCTGGACCCGCCGCGTGCGCACCCGTGCCATGCATGCGCCCGCCGCCATCCACCTCACCCTGTGCGGGGAGGCAGCGGTTTGCATGCTTGGAGAAAACGATCTCCAAGTGAGCAAGCCGCTGCCTTGTGCGCCCCATTTTGCGGCGCCCGCCCACCCCCGCCTCGTTTATCCTCGCAGCGCGCGCACCTGCTCCTCACCTTCCCTTGCTGTGTACCCCACCCCCGCCTTAGCGCACGCGCCCACATGCGCTGCCCCCACCCTCTCAACAGCCCGCGCACACCGCCGGCACCATCTTTCCGGCCTGCACCCAGCACCTTTCAACTGGCCCCCTGCTGGAAAAGTTTGAGGACCCATGTCTTAAGGTGAAGAAGTAGAACAGAGATATACAGTATTGTTTCCTCCCTCACAGGCTTTTGGTGAGAAGACACTTGGAGAATTTTTAGGGCTGTTTGCATTTAACAGTGGCAAAACATAGGTAAATTAATCCAAGATTTGCCATGATGCATGCAGGCATGTTCCATAGTATTTTTGAACACTTGGTTTCCCATTGGGATTACTGTGTCCCAAATCAGGACATTTTATGTTAATTGTAAGTTAAACAATCTACAGTTAACCTAAGTAATTGTAGGGTAACAGTGAACTGCTTAATCCATCATTAACCTACAGTGTTCAGGTTTGGATATCATGTAGCAACCCCTGATCAGATGTATTGGGATTAAATATTTAAAGCAGCTATGGGACACATGTAACACAGACAAGCAGCAAATTGTAGGTTAATTAACTCACAATTTGCCACTGTTACACACAAAGTTGGTCACAGTATATCTTGTTGGTACTTATTAGTACTAGGAAATACAGCAGTTTGTCAAAAATAACAGAACCTGATACCGATGGGACCTAGCCAACTGAAAGATGACACCCAAGCAAAGCATGTTCAGCTGGTGCCTGGAATATTCCTTCAGTCTATATAAGTGAAGTTCTCTGGGATTTTTTTTTCCATTTTATCCTGGAAAATTCAGATTTTTTTCCTTTTTTAGACCCGCCCCCCTCCCCGGGTCTTGACATCTGTACTCTTCTAATGGGGTCAGTTATGGCTGCTTTATTGCATACTGGCTCCTCCACTGGGTAAAACTGGTACACAGTAAAGTGTCACCAGCAGTGGGAGCACTCCTTCAATTTCTAAGTTTAGCTGTAGTTCTATGAAAGCAAAGCATCTTTAGTCAGAGCAGTTTTGTGGAATGCTGGTCTCTAGGGAAGCCACTGTCCCCTGGGCAATTCACCAGCTGATGCTGCATTGCCCCTGATGTCCAATCAGCTGCCACTCCCCCCACCCCCACCCAGGATTTATTTGTCCACCATTGGTTGAAGCTTTAAATTGTAGTTTAAAATGCTCCCCTGTGACTATGTGTATGCACCCTGGTGATGGCAGTAAATATAACATCTGTTGCTGATAAAAACATTGTGTGGTTGAGCATATAGTGCTTATTATATTACCAACACCATCCAAAGGAAACAGTAAGGCAATGTAAGATTTTTGGCCATTCATTAGAAAATCTTTAAATAAGGGAACTTACAAAACTTGAGAGTGTGACACAGTCCTATGGTACAACATAAGTAGCTCTGTGTTTTTTATGTTTTCCCTAGCAGCAATAAGAACAGCACATTAATATTAAAAAAGAAGGCCTAGGGACCCAACAGCATCCTTCAAAATATTGTTCCTGGTATTTTCCACACACACAAGTCACCAATCAAACTGTAAAGATGGTATGATGTTAAGATGACACATTCTAGGCCTTCACTGAAATGCAGCCAATAAGCATGATGCCTGGAAATACCAATAGTGTTTTCTCTGTCAGAATTTCCCAAAACTCACACAAAGCTTGTATGTAGAACCTCCAAGCTACTGGTTTCCCTGTAGAAGGATTCAAGTCTCATGTGCTGATTGTTTTACATTCAAGTTTTTAGAACAGCACACACTGAAGGATATGAATAAACATTTTGAAAACAGCATACTTCTTGAATGAGGACAAATGAACTCTAGAGCAGGTTTATGAAGCATCATGATCTAGCTGGCAACTCAACTGGAGCAGGACAATATAATAAGGAACATGTGTGAACATGGGCTTTTGGTCAGCATGGTTTCAGATGAAGCTGCATCCAGAATTCATCTACAAAGGTATTTACTTGTTTGTTTGTGTATTTCTATCCTGCCTTTTTTTCCTTCCAAGGAACTCGAGGTGGCTTACTTAATTCTTCCCTTCCTCTCAATCTTATCAGCACAACAACCTGGTGAGGTAGGTTGGGCTGAGAGTCTCTTACCTGGAATGACATGAGATACCTGCAGAAAGATGAAATAGCATCCCGAGAGGGCTGCCAAACTTCTTTCTCCATTAACAGACAATGATAGGCCCAGTGAATTCTAATATCCATAGGCTCTGTTCACAATTGGAGAAGACTGAAAAACTGGAGGAGAACCTGAGACCATTAAGTGGAGACCAGGGAAATGTAACGAAACAACATCTACCTATAGAAAGAGAAATTGCTACTACTTCTCCCCAACTGAATATAGGAACCCAGAGCATACCACAAAGATCTGTATAGGCCTGATGAAAAATATACAAAAATTAAATCTCTTATCTTGGAACATTGTGGGCTGGTCAACTAAAGCCTTGGATCTTTAATTCATGGACTTTATCAACATGTTTGGTATCCTATTTTTCCAAGAGACTTGGGCCAGGGAAGAGGTCTGACGCAACAAACATTGACAGATACCTTCTAACTTTGATATGCAGCTTGTATTTTAACACTTGTTTGTGGATAAAATGCAACAGAATGGGACATGTAACTGATTAGATTCTGGCTTTTAATAGTGTAAAACAAGGATTTATACTTGCTCTCACACTATTTAACTAATACATTAACTAATTAGGTAACAGCTTGGCAGAAGTATGCCCCCATCCTCCCAATTAGCAAACAAACTATTTTTATGTTTATGTGCTGTTTATACTTTTATATGCAGATAATGCAGCATTGCATTCCCTAATAAGCATAGGTCTAAAGACATCTTCTAGACCAGGTTACATCCTTTAGATACTTGAGCATAATTTTCCACTTATGGTGTCCACAAATTAAATAGGCTACTGGAAATACTCGAGGAGCATTAGAGCTTTCCCATATTTCTTTGATATTAAAGGAGTCCAATACCTTCCCTCAGCCATCCAACTCTTCCAGGCTAAGGTTATCTCTCAGATGTTGTATGCATCCCAACTCTGTGCATATAATAACTACACCCAACTTTGAAGTGATATTGACAAAATTCCTTCATACAGTACTGGAAATCCCAAGCTGTGTTGCCAATGTGTGTGTGCTTAGAGACAGGGCAAATCTCTACAGAGGCCTGTGTGTAGATCCTTAAGGTTCACTACTGGCTTGGTCCCCTGATATGAACTAATACTTGTTACACAAATTGGAAAATTCAGTGTTATAAGAAACTGTACAACCTTGGATTCACATCCAGCAGCTTAATAGCATAAGGGTATGAAAAAGCTAAAATGACAATTGAACAACATATTCAGGATGTGTAAGTAGAGCCTTCAGAACATCCTGAATATAGAGAAAATAGGAGAAGATTTTAACCTGTAAAACACCTGTCCAATTTGCATTTCCCAAAATTAAGGAATGCTTTTACTTAGGCAAGATTTAGTATGCAACCCTCAGCTTTAACAAATGGAAAATGGGACAGGTGTGCCCCTTTGAGAAGGGAGAGATTGAAGCTGCAGGACATGTTTTGCTATATTGAACTTTTTAGCAGGCCTTGCAGCATCACTTTTAACACCCATTATGCAACGGTTCCTGGAGAGAGAGGAACAACACCCAGCACACCGACTGTCAGATCAGGACCCAAAATTCGCTATAAAAGTGGCAAGCTTTTGTGCAAGCTGCAATACATCTATGCAAATTGAGATTAGTGGGTATTAATGAATTGTAACAATTTAATGTATTATGTTTAGATTCTTTTATTTCACTCATTGATTGTACTGCATTTTAAGTCTGTAAGTATTTTAATTACTTGTGTTTTACCTATTTTATTAGATTAATATTTTATTATTTGTATGCTGAATTTTACTTGTCTGTGACCAAAATAAAGTAATCAGAAGCCCAAAGTAATCAAGTGAGTTTCGTGGCTTAAGTGGGAACTAGAACTCAGGTCACCCGAGTCCCAGTCCTGCACTCTTAACTACTTCTTCACACTGACTATACTCCGTATCTCCACTAGGCCATGGTGAATTTGGGGATTTATGGACAACAGAACTGGCATACTTACGACATTTCCATGTGGGACATACTGCTCCAGCCTACAGTTAGGGACAACTATTTAGTTGTACACATTTCCCAATATTTCTGCATGTAGTGACATTCTGTACTCATGGGTCTGAGTAACCTGCAAACCTTTGGTAAGCTTGGGTTTGGGAGTCACACCTCAGATATGAGTTCTCCCTGCCTTGGTTACTTCTCTTTGTGACTTGAGTGGCAACAATGGAATTAAGAACTCCTGGTGGATGTTTGTACCTATGTAGAGCTTTGCCCTTCCCTTTGGTATCTGATATCAACATTTCCTGGCTAAGGCTGAGATATTCCCTTGTGGTGTATCCACGACTGGCTTCCTACAATGCAGGATTAGGTATATACAGCACAACTGATTTGAAAATCCTTGACACAGTGTCTGCTGAAGATGGATTCTTAGCTGCATGGCAGACACTGGCCACTCCAACAAGTGGCTGCTGCTTCAACAACTATGGATGGCAGATGCCAGGCTTTCAGCTCTTCCCCATAAGATGCAGGAGTGCAGCTACTACACTCAAGCTTTATGCTTCTTCATTGATAAAAACTATTTAATTATGCCTTCATATTAGAACACTACAGTACAGGTGAGATGTGGAGTGGGGGGAAACCCTGACCCTATACCTAGGGAGTACATCAAGGTTGCATACTTGCACCCCTGCTATTTAATCTGTACCTTAATAACCTAAGATTTCTCCTCATGGAACTTCCACTACACCAAACTGGCCTATGCTTTTATACAGAGCTCTCTCCTGTCTTTTACCAAAGTTAGTCTAAAACAAATTCTGAAAGCATTTATCAGTTATTGAAAGGAAAATGTCTTAATTATTAATTTTGATAAAACCAACATTATGGTCTTTTTTAGATTCTCCCTGAATAAGTGGGTTATAGGTGGTCAGTCTGTAGAATAACTTAGAAAATTTAAATATCTTAGGATTACATAGAAACATAGAAACAGAGCAAGTCAGAAGGGGGTCTCCCGGGCCATCTAGTCTGACCTCCAGCACCAGCCGGCTCCGCTCACGACATGCTCACCATGTGCATGTCCAGCCTATCTTTGAACACCCTCATTGATGGGGCCTCAATGACCTCCCGTGGAAGCCCATTCCATACCCTCAGGGTCCTAACTGTCAGGAAGTGCTTCCTGGCATCTAAATGGAACCTTGGCTCCCTGAGCTTTGCTCCAATTGTTTTCCAATCTTTTGGTTCTTGGGTAACCTATTAGAAGACTGAGTTACAGTCAGCCTCTAACAGTGCCAAAGTGATACTATGCTACTTTTATACTAGAGGAGGACAGTACATTCCTGCTGCACTCCAAGGGTTTAAGGCTAAGGCAACAGTTGACACAACTGTTGTTTGGAGTCCCGGTGTGAATTTTAGGGTTTTCCCCCCACCTTAGAACAAATACTCTCAAGCCTTTTCACATCAACTTTTTGACATGCCCAACTGCCATTAGCAGTTTTAGGGCTCTCATTAGTAGAATGTATTGTGTGGTGATTGATGGGCATTTAGATACTGGTTAAAACTTTCAAACTCTAAATCAGAATATAGGTCCCTCCTTCAAAAGACATTTACAACTGTCCATTGTCTAAAGCTATCAGAAATAAATTGCAGATTATGGGTTTTTCTGAAAGCTTTTTGTCCACTCAAGCAAACATATTGTTGCACATACTGAAGGACACTGATCTTCAATATTTCTTATCTGCTGCCCAAACTACCTGTTCCCCAATTTATTCAGGTTTGACTTTCAGTACTCAAAGCACTGCAAAATATTGTGAAAATGTGACCATTTCCAAATATCCTAAAGCCAGATTCAGTGTAATTCCCTCTGCATTGGATGAACATTTATATAAACATTAGTTGCATACATTGTCTCTGACCATGTGGAGAAGTGGTAGAGTCCCACTGTTGAAAAATTTTTATTTTCTGTAGCTAATATCCATAAGGATATTCTTCAGTTTTAAATGTAATATATGAAATGTTTTAAATATGCTATTGTATTAAGGATTTATATATGTCAAGCAGTTGCTGTACTGTTGTTATACATTCTGTTTTGTTGATCATTTGTGTTTTAAATTGATTATTTCTAAAAGGTATGTGACTGCAAAATAAATGAAAGTGGAAGTGAAAACTGTAATTTTATATCCTTTTCATTAATTTCAATAATATTTTAAAATGCAAGGAAAGAAAGGATAGACATTCCAAAGCACATTTTCAAATGAATTTGACAACTGATACACTTTACCTGAGTTCACAAACTGCCAAGACTTGAGCACGATACATTTCTTCATTTTGTGGCCTCAGTAGCAGCAATGGCAGTTTCACTCTAAGTCTTGGAGACAGCTTCCCAGACTGTGCGTAGTCCATAATGTCATATACCATCATTGTTCTGGGAAAGTTTTCTAAAGAAAGTTTTCTCCAGTAGTTATGCCTACCACCAAAGTATGATGGAGTCTCATCCATATAACTGATATACTAGAGAGTCAGAAAAGAAAACTCAATTATTTTATAATTCTTGGGTATCTTTTGTAAGCTGGCTTCATTTCTGAAAGTGAAATGAACGACTGACCCAATCATGAGTATGGTGAAAAACAAAACAAAACAAAAAACCCCTTGCCATTTCTGTCAAGCAGCTTCTATAGAAGCACCAGTGGCAACAGCCCCAAAAGTACTCAAGCAAAACTTCAGGGCAAATGGCACTCAGTTTCCCATCTCCCTGCCATGTTCATGAGTTGTTTTGGGTTCACTGGGGCTTCCCTTCCTCCCAAGAAGTTTTGAAAGCTGATCCCTGTTTTGATAGCTACAGAAAATCCCTTTCAAGTGCCCCAGCTGCACCTTGGCTCCCCAACATTTTTTTGTAGTTTTCCCTGTAATTTTCAAAAACTTTTGCAAAAAAAAAATCACTATTATTTTTTACCTACACTGCACAATTGTGAACACTGGCAATTGCACTGGTGCTGAAACGGGGAGCCAGGGGTGGGCAAAGTTCAGGGGGGATGCCTGCTAGCAAAGTCCAGTAAGTATTCAGCATGGGTATTACCCAACAGAGGCTAGGGGTAATTTTATTTTTACCATTAGTTATATCTGACAGTTGTCAAAAGGCAACCTGTCAAATGTAACCATATGCGCAAGCAATCTTAGCTAGTAAAAATGGAATGATGCCTTATTTGCCTGCTTCACAGCACAATTTTCAAGGTTTTGTGGTGGGGTCACATGTCCCAAGGGAGTCCTCAATTTTGCACTTCTTCCCAAAATTCTATCACCTTGGGAACATCTATGAGTGCAAACCAACCTATTTATGGTAGTAGATAACTGTTACAGCTGTCAAAACTCCATTTAAAAAGTGCTAATTGCCATATAATCACAATGTTTATAGGAATATATGAAATTCTAATCTTATGAATATTGTATTTAAGCTAGCTTTGGGTCTGCTCAGAAGTTTGTTTTATTAATTCATCCCATAAGGGGGTGGTGGGTTGATGAGGAACATCTTAACATTGCTTACTTTCATGTAGTCTTTTATTGTTGCAACATCCATCTCATCTATTATACCATATTTCTTATACTGAAGTTCATCCTGCAGCATTTGATTATAATATTTCCGATATCCCATTAATTTGCAAGCATCAGCAGCTGCCTATTAAACAAGGGAAAAGACAGAACAAAATAGCCTCAGCCTCATCTTAAGTCTGTTCCAAACCTCCATTCTGTAATCTTCATGTTTTTACCATACCTTACATTTTTACAGTTTCACTAAATGAAAGATGCATCTAGTTTAAAGAGTGTGAAGAAAAGTTCTCTAAGGCAGAAGTGATCCTTCCCTTCATCTTAATAGGAACTGATCACTCATATTTCATAATGGAAGACTGGATGCATTCTTTCTGTTTCACAAACCTAAAGTAACTTGTGATACAAGGACTCCACTGGGAGGCCTATGGTTCATAACCTGATCCATGCAATCTCCTCTTGTATACCGCTTTCTTTTTGGAAGAACCACTGCAAGAGTTTTTGCAGTTTTCTGACAGTTCTAAAAGCAAGTGGACATAAAAACTAAAAAAACAAAACAAAAACTGTAATGGCTGTGAAGTGACCTGAGGGGAAATGTGTACTAATTTAAGAGCTGGGAAGTAAACAGAAAAAAGTTGTGCACCTGCTGTAACAGATATGAAAGTGAAGCACAAAAAAGTGGGGGGATGGAGTTAATACCTTATTTTTCTATAGTAGCTGGAGATAAAGGGAAATGTTGAAAAGTGCAACACTTAAAGGGAGTGTTGGTAAGTGAGTGATATTAACTCCCTGCTTTTGATACACTTTTTGATAAAGCTTGCTGTTCCGCCCATCACCACCCCGCCTTTACCAGTGCTTTTCAGTTGACAATTTGGCAATTTGACCCTGGCAACTATGTGCAAATTAGCCTATACATAGTCTCACTTTGTCCTTTTTTATCTGTTAGCTACCCTAGTTTGCTACTTCCTTTGACAGCTGAAACAAGAAGAAAATTGACTAGGAAAGACTACATATATGGAGTGCTTTAGAAACATGTTTGTAAAAACCACTACCACCACCAACAGCAACAATTTTTTAAAATCAAATAGATTTGTGCAATTTTCGCAACCAACAAATAAAGGATTTCAACTCTCTCTGTGTGTTTAAGGCTCTGAAAAGTTAAAAAAACACTCTGCAAACAAAAAGGGTTAACAATTGGAGTTGAGAGCAGGATGTGGGAGAACAGCCTACAGTAAGAACAATTCATCTGTCAGATGTACTGTGAACAACCAACCTACCATGACTTATTTGCAAAATGGCATAGCATGATATGTGAACTCATCCTAAGTGTCTGTAACATCTTGAATGGAGCCAATAATAGTAAGATCACAAAGATGTATTTCTAGATTGAAACAATAGGCCAGAAACAGCTTTCTTCATGGCCAACACTGCGCTCTGGGAAATCTATTCCCCTCTAAGCACTTGCTCTCGATTTATTCTCCCCCTTTTAAAACTAACTGAAGAACAACATGAGGTGTGACAGATACAAAAAGGAAAATCTCAACTAATGCATATATACTTTTTTCTACGATTTGTCCTTTCAGCATTTTTGAGCCACCTCCAAACTTCTTTTTTGCATACTCAGAAGAGTTACTTACTGAGAGCTAGCTTTTAAAGTAATGATCAACTCACTGAGGAATAAGTGAAGCAACTTGCAGAAAAGAACATGTATACTCCCTGATTGCATTATGGCTACTTTACCCCTATTTTAAGAAGCTCCTATCTGCCAGGTTATAATCTTCCCCATTCAGAGCAGGCCTCCACACCCAAAAATCTGTACAGAACTCTCCGGCAACGTATTGTGGCTTTCCGGATGTTTAACAACCCATTCTTTTTTTGCATTCCTGAGCAGGCAGTACCAATAAATGCTTTATCAAGTCCCTACTGGACCACCGTACATTTGGGATAGGAAAGATTTGATGACATTGAGACCATAGTACATTTACAAAGAAAATCTCTTAGTACCGGCAGCAAAACATGAACATACCAACAGATGGTAGAGTAGTGGTTAGTGATATACCCTACCTGGATCAATTGGTAAGACAGCCAATGGCTCAAGGAAGTGCTGTGGTCAGTTTCTTCACAATGTCATATATTGTTCAGGCCTGTTCCATACTATGGTGCCAATCTAATTAAAGTTAGTTAATATTATCCTATTGAAAACAATGGACTTAAATTACTAGGGACTAATCTATTCTAGTGGTTTCAACTGAATTTAGGACTAATTTTTGCTGGATTAGAGCTTCTGCATATACAGTTAATTTTAAAGAAATATAACACTGGAAGCAACATTATACCAGCCATATTGCTCTCTAAAATGTTGGCTGTTTAATAGGAAGAAGCAATTTCTTGATCATGCAAGCTTAAATAACAGATAATGCAGCTTTGCCTATTTGGCAGTACAGAGATACAATAAATGAAATTAATACAGATATTACAGAATGTCACAAGTATGACTGAGCAAACAGAAAATTATTCAGATAAACACATGGTAGGTTACCTCACTTGTTGATGTTATTATTCTTTTTCCACTTATGTACTTGCTGCTTTGGTTTTTTGACTTGCAAAATATCTTGAACACAACGAAAGGGGGGAAATCAGTCCCAGCAAATCTGAAGGAAAAAAACCCTGTAGGTAAATTACCTATTATTATGAAAAAGCTTATTTTTCATGTTTCATCATGGAAACTGCTTTCAGTTTAGATCCTTTAAAAAAATGACAGTAATTTTTCTGCAGCAAAGGTAACTGAAATAATAACATTCCTGGTCCAAAATACTATATGAAAGGACGGAGACCCAGGCAGGTTTGTGTAACACAACAACCTATGGTTGAAGGTTGAATATTCAGGAATAGCGCCTATGGCTACTACAGGTTGCTGTGACTTAAATGAATGTAATTATAGAAACCAGGCATACTCATACTTCAGTGTGAGTTGCCATGTTGGGTGCACCCAGCTGTGGTCCCTGTGACATCAGATATCAGCCAGTGGTAATACGTCTAAATGCTTCCCCATGTTTAAAAAAAAATATATACTCTACTGAAAACTAGCACATCACGGAGATAGCTGTTGCTCCATCCATCTCCATATTTAAATTAGCATCAAATTCACAATGCTTCTCTTCCATAGAAAAAGGGAGGTTATTTTTAATGAGGCAGGCACATTCAGATATAGTATTGTGAATCTGCTAGTTTGGAACTTACAGCTCTTATGACCTACTCAACTCAAACTTCTTTGCAAATGTATCTGATGGGGCTGCAAAATCAAGATGTAAATGTTAGGGAAGGAAAAAGGTGCTTTAGAGCACAGCTAAATATGATTGCTGCCTACTAGACAGAAGCCTCCTGGGGACATCTGAGATCTCTATGGCTCGCCAGCCTCTTGCTGGCAAGGCAGGAGGAGCAATAGAAGAGATTTTGGGGAACTGCTATGATGGTTAGAATGCTGGACTGGGGAGCCAAGAGATCCAGTTTCTAGTCCCAACTTGGCCATGAGGCTCTCTGGTTGACACACTCGGTCTAACCTACCTCACAGGGGTGGTATTTTGAGGATAAAATTGAGCTATATAAACTGCCTTGGGTTCCCCACTTAAGGAAAAAAAGACAGGATCAGAATGCAATATAATAATCATAATAATTTTCGCCTCTCTGTCATCCTTTTCCATTTTTCCTACTAGATGGGTCTTTGAGTCCATCTAGAAGAGTTGTGCTGACAGTGGCAGGCCAGCAGCATGCCCGGGGCCGGAAAAGCTTCCTTCCTCTCTGCCCACTGCCATGCCCTCTTTTTCATTTCTTCATCTCTGTCTGAGGTAATACTACTGACCCAAGCAGAAGCAGGACACAATCATATGCTTGTTTTGGCAGAGCAAAATCATACCCAAACGTGTTTACTCTAAAGAGTTTGTACAACCAGGTTTGTATGCTTGAATAATCCTTACTGACTTATTTACTTCCCTTAAGTAACTATAAGCTAATTCACACCATTATATTGCTATATTTTTCATGTCAAATTTTCACTATGAGCTTTGAAATCCCTAAAATTCTTTTTAGTTACTAGTTATATAAAGCCCCATAATGAAATAGGACAGAAATTGTCAGTTTAGTAATAATAGCAACCTGTTCTCATCTATTCTTTGGATGAAAAATACTTCATGGGAATATGCCCATAAAGAAAAACAACATTTAATATCTTAGGGTAACAACTGTAATAAATAAATAAATAAATAAATAAATAAATAAATAAATAAATAAAATTGAATGATTAATCTTTTATCTTGCACATACGTATACTTATTTTACCTGAATTTAACTTTACACTGAATAGTAGGTTCTTTAAGAAGTTCCGCTTCCAAAGGACTCACTCTTTTCAAAATATCATAGCTAATGCAATGCTCCTGAAAGAAATAGAGTATTTGCTCAATGAATTCGCAGCATATTTTTTGTACTAGCAAAATCAAGTGTAGCCCGAATAAGGGAACTCCAGCCTTGTGGAGGGGTCATAAGGGGGTGACTCTCCCTCCCAAAAAATCCAGTCAAAGAGGATTGAGCATGCTGAGCAGCTATTGTGGTACAACTGCCTAAACAGACATGGGCAGTTTGTGGCTCCCCAGATGTTTTATCCTACAACTCCTATCTTTCTTTGCCACTAGCTATACTGGCACAGGAAAGATCAGAGATGTGGGCCAAAATATCTGGAGGGCTACAAGTTGTTTACTATTGGGAGGAAGAATGTCTGCATGGGTGGGGTGGAAAGAAGGTACCACTAACTGACTGAAATGAACAGGCAGATTCGACACTGTGATATACATTTTTACTTTGAAAAACAACAGTAATTATTTACCAACTAGTTTCAACTAGAGAATTAAAAGTCTGACTATGACTTGGTGTAAGATCAATAAATAAACCTATCTTTAAACAAAGCAGCAATGACTGTTGTTTTACAATAGTTTGCTCTTTCTTTCGCTAGTATTGTTTCACTGACAAGGAGGACTGTACAAGTGATAAAACATCACTTTAGGGGTGTTTCTGGGTGTAGTTTAGCTCCTGAATGGCCAAAGAGCAGAAATGATCAAGACTACCTTTTATTAGCTTCTGCTTATTCAGTAGCTATGCTCTTTTCTAGAGAAAATGAATTTGGCTACAATCATTCATGCATTTCATGAGTGTATCTAAATTTTCAGTTTAGATTAATGCTTCTATATGTGGCTGCTTTTGAAGACTGCTTGGAAACATTGAAACAAAATACATCTACAAGGGTATTGACTGAGAACATATTATCTACTCCTTCACACTCTGCACTGGTAATTGATGCATTTACAGGCCAAGATCAAGGTTTTGTTTTTGACCTTAAATGTTTTAAACGTTCTGCAGCAAAACTGTTTCAAGTTTCACTCCCTTCTGTAACAACTGCCCAGGCATTTATTTCACTTTTGATGCCCTTCTCCAAGTTCTCCCTCCTACATTCATGGCAAGGGCAGCTAAGAAATAGGGTATTTTTAGTAATGCCTCCCCCATAAAAAAACAGAATAGCCTCAAACTTTGTTTGCCTAGCCCAATTATCGCTCCACTTTTAACAGACAGTAAAAACTGGTTTATTTCAGTGGGCTTTTAAATCTGTTGCTTGATTTTATTCTATACCTTGATTATAATCTTATGGAACAGTGGTATATAAATATAAAAAACCCCCCAAAAATGCAGACACACAGGAAAGAAGGCTGCCAGTTTGTCCCGTAGCAGAAATGTTATGATGCTGGGGCATATTGAGAAGGCCATTTTAAATTGGGGACTACATTCAATGGTAACAATGTTATGTTGTTAGGAGTATTCATTATGGCAATGAGTTTATATATGCATAATTTTCTTGCATCTTCCTTCCTTGCAAAGGGAGGAAATCTGAAAGTTCTTTTTGCAGTTTGTAATAAACCAGCTTCCCATTTTGTCTATGGGATATGCTGGTTGATATAACACATAGTTAACAAGCTAGAGTATTAAAATATGATGTAAGGATGGGATATACAAAAACTTTCAGCGCAAGGGCCAAATTCTATTTCAGAAATAGAAAGTTGGGCAGGCCCAAAAGCAAAACGGAGTGAGAAAAAAGGATGGAGTCAAGTATAAGCATATTTTCACTTGAAGCTGATATTTCAACAACTAAGCCTTTAAACTTACGTTTAAATATTTTAAATGCATTAAAAATCTTAATTTGTTAGTAAACATAAAAAGAAAATGGCCAATTATCTACATTTGCACTCATTGGTTGAACACTGGAAAGGAGGAGCGGTTTCTATTTTACTAAGCAACGAGGGAAATTCCAGCTTCTATGTTTTTTCACATATGTTCCCAAGTAAAACAGTGAATGGCTTAACAAATAACCAAATAAAACAAAAGTGGGCAACTTAAGACAGGAAGCAATATCATATCATATCCCAATACACACGTACGAATTTTACCAAAATCTGTTGCACTGAATACTAAGATTTTTTTAATGATCCTTGTATAATTGCACATTAATAAAATCATTCACAGCATAAGCAAATGATAGTAACAACATTCACCACTAACAGCATAAGCAACTGGAATCTAGTGTTGTCTTCAACAATCTTAAAACTACAGTTGAGTTGTTTTTGAAATGCAGCTTTACTATGGATTCTAAATTGTGTTTCAGTGTATGGCGGTTTGTTTACATAAGAACATAAGAAAAACCATGCTGGATCAGACCAAAGTTCCATCTAGTTCAGCACTCTGTACACATGGTGGCAAAACAAGTTGCCCACAGGATTCCCCAAGCAGGATGGGTACAAGACCTCCAACTACCCAAGTTCCTTAGCAACTGGTGTATACATGTATGCCACCTCTAATAAAGGAGAGGGCACATAGCCAGTAAGGCTAGTAGCCCCTCTCTCAGGAATCTGTCCAATCCCTTTTTAAAGCTATCACCACTTCCCATGGCAATGAATTCCATAGTTTAACCATACACTATGTGAAGAAGTATTTCCTTTCATCTGCCCTAAATGTCCACCAATCAGCTTCACGGGATAACCCCAGATTGCCTTCAGACAGAATACTTTTTTTTTTTTGGCAGAAGCCAGAGCCAAAATCATTATTGACAGCATGAGGACAGTTCCCATGCATATTTCTAGATTCCAGCTGTTGTGAGATGTGCATGTAATTATGTCCAATTGCAAACAAAGCAAAATACCTTTCAATCTGTATAATACCTCTGCCAGACCAGAACTTATTTTCATCTTTAATTTCTCCCAGTGTATGTGCACACAGGGATACACTTTGAAAACAGGAAAAGTGGTAAGGAAAAATGATTTAAAAAAATAAACTACAGCACCACATCTAGTCACGTCATTAAGGACAAATACATACTGCAGCACGAATTGTGTGTTTCAAAAGTTTAAACAGTCTGTGTCTTATGTGACACCACCACATCCTCCTAATTATTTTAGCAGCATGTTCTTCTTGAGCCCTGGGAGGAACAAGGAAAAACACCAAATGTTTGAGTACTGTGAGAAATTCATACTTAAAATGACTGAAAGTGATTTGAACAGAATTACTGAAATGGCAGGCTTTCATTTTCTCCTTCCTCTGTCATGTCTCTTGGCTGTTTTACATTGCAAGTTCCTTGGGCTTACAGGTGAAACAGGGACATTCACCACAAATTCATGCCTCATACTGCACAGCCCCTCAATGTAAATGGGTTGAGTTCGTTACTGAAATGTCCCCAGCGTTCTGGTAGCTATTGCAGCCTCTAATCTTTAACCCTTTATGTTCAATCGTGGACTGTTCTTTATAAAGAACTATAGACATGGGCAGCAGTAAAATAATCAAATGATTCAGGTCTAGCATCCATCTGATTATAGGTCTGCCTGCTGTCTTTGACGCGCGTTCTGTGCGATTACCAACAGAAAGTGTTCTTAGGATGCCTAGCGATGCCGAGGCTAACATCCCAAGACGGTGCCAACCCGCAAGGCCATTCCTTCTGTTCTGCCCATACAAATTCAGAACGGAATTTGAAAACAGGAGCGCAAGTGCCCACCCGACCCCAGCCGCCAGCCAGCCGCCAACAGCGGCCACCTTTACCTCCGCCGGTCTCTGTCAGTATCAGGTTCATCATCAATCGACGCTGTGCGAATATTGTCCCTCTGCATAGCCGCCCGAAGCCCCTTTCCCAGTGGCTGCGCTCAAGCGCCTTTCAGCGGTTACCTAGAAACAGAAGACGCGCTGATGCTAAAACCGGAAACCACCACTGGCACCGCCCACTTCCGCTTGCCTTGAAAAAAATGTGGCGGAACGAGCGCTACCGTCGCGCTATTCCGTTGGTGGCGCGCGAGTTGTGCGTCATTGTTGCTGCGCCGTGCTTAAGGAGCGGCGCTGTCCCCGCTATGTTCAAGGTGAGAAAGTTTCGTGGGTAACTGCGGGGAAGGGAATGAATGATCGAGTCATGTCAGCTACTTGCGTCACGCGCCGCCTTTGCTCCCCTCGCGCCCAGCGCGACTTCCCAGGTTCTGGGAAGGGGAGGCCGCGCTCGCTGCTGCCGGCTCTTCGGCTGCGGTGAAAATGGAGGAAGCGAACGGTGCGCGCCGATGCTCCCAGCTGTCCTTACTGTGTGTAAGCAAGGACGAAACAGGAGGAAGGGAGGGAAGAAGAGCACGGGATGGGTTATGAAGCCATCGTTTTTCCAAAAAGCAACGGAGTCTCACCTGGAGTCTATTGATACCTTCAAGAATTAACATTGATTAGAGAGCAAAGATTATTGCGTTATTCGGTGAGGGTAAAAAGCTATTTAGGTGTCAGCACTTGGGCAGAATCGATAGTCGGGTGAACCAAAAAGGTCACTGTTCTCCAGAACTTCTCATCTGACTAGATGGGACTTGGAACAAAAAAGTACAATAGCCATATCAAATGTCGTGGCCATGAGATAAGCCTTTTAGACCCAGTGTGAAGATGGGAGATTGTAAATTGAATGATTTAGTGCTGTAAATATCAAATAACTGAGATGACTAAGCAGTGGCTGTCCACAGACCTGTTTCAAGCCTCGGCTGAAACATACAGGTTCCTGAGTGGGCGGAAAGGAGAAGCAAATAGAAATGCGATGATCTTTATACTCGCAACAATAGCAGCTAATTTTTGCATGTGAAAACCCCGTCACCCCCTCCTTTTTAGTGTTTCCTCTGAGAGCCAGTATGTCTAGTATTAATCTGATTTCATCCTGTTTGTAAATTGGATTCTGTTAAAAAGGTGAATAAAGAATAACCTATTTCTAATGGAGCAATTGGATGTACATAATATTATGCCATATAAATAAATGGACATGGGTAGACAAGAACATTATCTTCTTCCAATAAGAAAACTTTTATAACTTAATCATACACATGTTTAATCAGATATTATTCTGGTTGAGTTCAGTGGTGCTTATTCCCAAGTATGTGTGCTTCTCAAGATTTCCAGATGGAAGACTTCTGGTTCTAACCATTAAAAGTCATAGCATAGCTATTCAGCCTTTTTTTCCCTTAGACAGAATGGAAACACATGAAGGAGGTACAAAAGGAAGGTGGTGATATCTACCCACCTCATAAAGTTCTGTGAGTGAGGCATTTAGACTTTATTTTGTTTATAATTCCACAGTTTATAGACTTTTGCAGTTTGGGTTCAGCTGCAGAAAAAGCCCTTAACTTTGTCCCTTATATTTCTACCATAGTTTGGACATAGAAAAGGGTCTTTTGATTAAATCTGGTATGGGAGAAGGTAGTTTCTAAGGCATCCTGGATCTAAGCCATTTAGGGTGCAAACCTATCCATATTTAGGCAAGAAAAATGTCCTACTACTCTTAGTATTTCTGAGCCCTGGCATGGTTAGCTTGAGAATGTTGGGAGTTGTAGAAATTTTCTCTCTTAAAGATGCATAGGATTGCTCCCTTAGGGCTTTAATAATGCCATCAACACTTTGAATTATTTCTAGAAATATTAGTTCCCTGGTGTTGTATCTTTTCTCAATCTACAGGGGGAGCTATGGGATCAAACATTGTAAATTAGGGAGATGCTTTGTATAATTAAAAAGGTAATTCTGAAACAAATGTCTTGGTCTTAGTTTTGATTTGCCAATATTTGTTGTCATTCTGATTTCTAACCAATGTGTGAAGGAGAGATCATGTACATTTAACTGTTGGATGGGGAGACATGCTTTCAAATTCTATCTTGCATGTTCATCTTTTGGATAGTCTGGGACATGTTAATAATGCATTTTAAAAATATATCTTTTATAAATAGGGTAAAAAGTGCACAGGAGACTGATTACTTGGACTAACATAAAATAATGAGTAAGAATGTCATTTTAACATTGATAATTCTGGAAATTAAAAAATTGATAATTTATTTTTATGATGCTTCTCATACATTTGGTATTTATGTGTCTGAATGTAATAATTATGTTTGTAGTTCATAATTACTATCTGATAAAATACACTGAAGTTAACAGCCAACAGGGGAGATGACTAGGGCTGTTGACACGATCACTCCTAAGCGTCCTCTCCCGCCAGGCAGAGCCCACTCTTCCCCTTGCTATACATCTGAATTGCGGGCGATGAAGCAGGCCGGGAGACGGCTAGAGCGTAGGTGGAGGAGATCACGGGATGAATCTGACCGAACACACGTAAGAGCCCATTATCAGGCCTCTGCTGTGGCGGTGAGGGTGGCAAAAAAGAAATTCTTCTCCATTTCCATTGCCTCCTCAAAATGCCGTCCAGCAGAGCTTTTTCGGGTGGTACAAGGGCTGGTCCGTCCTGGCCCTAAGAAAGATCTGGTTCCACCCTCAAAGGCCCGCTGTGACGACTTTGCCAAGCATTTCAGGGAGAAAATCGCTCAGATTCGTCACGAGCTAGACTCTTACTAGTGATTCAGAGGCTTCTGGGGAGATATCAATGTCGCTGTCTGGTCCAAAATTAATGGATGACTTTCAGTTATTGCGGCCTGATGATGTGGACAAGGTGCTTGGATGAGTACGTCCCAGCACTTGCCTATTGGACCCTTGCCCATCTTGGTTAATAAACAACGCCAAGCACAGGATTGGGACCTGGATCTTGGAAGTGGTTAATGCTTCTCTGAGGGAGAGTCGGGTACCTGCCCCTTTAAAGGAGGTGGTAATTCGACCGGTCCTGAAGAAAGCGTCACTGGATCCAGAGATGTCCACTAATTATAGACCAGTGGCCAACATCCCGTTTCTGGGCAAGGTGTTGGAGCGGGTGGTGGCGGGACAACTCCAAGCACTCTTGGATGAAACTGATTATCTGGACCCATTTCAGTCCGGCTTCAGACCCGGGTACGGTACTGAATCTGCCTTGGTTGCCCTGTATGATGACCTGTGCAGGGAGAAGGACAGGGAGAGTGAGTCCCTGTTGGTTCTTCTGGACCTCTCAGCGGCTTTCGATACCATCGACCATGGTATCCTTCTGAATAGGCTAGCGGGATTGGGGGTCGGAGGCACTGCTTTGCAGTGGTTCTGCTCCTATCTCAATGGCCGATTCCGGAAGGTGGTGCTGGGGAACTATGTCTCTGCGCCATGGCAGCTATGCCATGGAGTACCACAGGGATCAATTTTGTCCCCTTTGCTTTTTAATGTCTACATGAAACCACTGGAAGAGGTCATCAAGAGGTGTGGGCTGCGGAATCATCAGTACGCTGATGATACCCAGCTCTTCCTCTCGTTTTCCACCAATCCAGGTGAGGCAGTGCCTGGCCGAGGTAATGGGCTGGATGAGGGCCAATAAATTGAAGCTCAATCCAGACAAGACGGAGGTCCTGTTGGTTGGCGGATCAGGCTTCGGGGAAGATGAATTGAACCTAGTCCTGAATGGGGTTGCACTTCCTCTTAGGGACAAGGTCCGCAGCTTGGGAGTGCTCCTCGACCCAGAGCTTTCACTGGAAGCTCAGGTGACAGCGGTGGCAAGGAGCGCTTTCTTTCAGCTTCGGCTGATCCATCAGCTGCGCTCCTACCTGGAGAACGACTGCCTGGCGACAGTGACACATGCGTTGGTGACTTCCTGACTTGACTTCTGTAACGCGCTCTACGTGGGGCTGCCCTTGAAGACGGTCCGGATACTTCAGTTGGTTCAAAACAGAGCTGCCAGGCTGCTGACGGGGACTGGGCGTTATGTTCACATGACTCCAGTCCTCCGTCAGCTTCACTGGCTTCCCATTGAAGTCCAGGCCCAAGGTGTTGGTGATAACCTATAAAGCCCTTAACAGCTTGGGTCCTGGTTACCTGAAGGAGCACTTACGTCCATATATGCCCACCCGCCCCTTGAGATCAGCAGGAGAGGCCCTTCTCCGGGAACCCTCCGTGAAGGAAATTAGGAGGGTTAGTACTCGGAGGAGGGCTTTCTCTGCGGTGGCGCTTAAGTTATGGAATGCGCTCCCCAGAGAGGTCCGCCTGGCGCCGTCGTTATTTGTTTTTCGGCGCCAGGCGAAGACCTTTTTATTCAAACGTTATTTTAATTGTTAATATTATTTATTTATTTTATTCTTTGTCCAGGGCGACTTAATTTATATTGTTAATTTATATTGTTTTATTGGATTCTATTTATTTATGGTTGTGAGCTGCCCCAAGGCTTCGGCAAATGGGGCGGCATAGAAGTCCCCTAAATAAATAAATAAATAAATGAATAAATAATCAATCCCCTGCATCTTTGTACAGTAAGAATGCCTCAGACTCCCATATTCCAAATAACCTTTGACCCACATGTCATTTGTTTTGTTACCAGAACTTTTTGATATAAACATTTTTACAGTAGCATTAGCCTTGCTTTGTAGGAAATGATAGGATTATGACAAAGCACAGGCATATATCAGTGCTTGATAACTTGCTTTCCATGTAGGGGGATTTGGTTTCTGAGAAAATTAGACTGTTTGATTTTTATGACTCATTATTAACAGTGCTTCTAAATAAATAGTCACAAGGAAATGATTAACTAGGGACATTCTTATGAAAACTGCTAGATGCCATTTTCAGCCTTAAAATACAGACTAATGGATTTACAGTATGCTCAATCATAGCATAAATGATTTTACGTGAAGAATGGTTAACTTGCTAAAGAAGCCAAAGACTGGAATAAACACTGATACATTCAGTGTTTTGTTCTACAGTACAATTTTATGCTTGTTTGCTTATTAAGTCCTACCAAGATAATTGTGGTATAATCTCAAATAAACGGTCATAAGATTGCATGCTTAGGAATCTTGAGGAGGGTTTGAGTATTTGACTTTTGTTCTTTGTTTAAAGGCTTTAAGAGAAGAAGAGCACTTTTGTGCTGATTATTACCTTTTTTGTTTGAACAATTCCTTCCAGTTCAGCATTGCCATTCAGGAGTTTCACTTTCCATGAAGCTTCAATGCTTCTGAGCCTTCCCATTTACTTTAGTGGAGAGGATAGCTCTGTGCATACATCTCTTCAGAAATTGTAACTGGCTATGTATGTAGCACACACATATATTTTTCCATAACAGGAGCAAGGAAGGCAGGATATAGGTGCAATGTAATAATATTGCTTCGAATTGGGATTGCTTAAAAACAGGGTGGATTTGATTTAAGTCATGGTTTCTGCGTAATTTGTACGAACACCTGCCTTACCTGTAGGTAGAGGAAAATTACTAAAATATTCCCAAATTGGGTCTATTTTACAGCCTGCTGACATTATAGGTTTCCTTCTCCAGGGAAATAATATGATCAACCTTACACTATACACAAAAAGATCCAAAGACTTGTGGAATATTCTGCTCAAAATATTTCCCTTTGATTTTTACTGCATACCACTCCCTTCTCACAATTAGCTTCTAGTGCAGATCTATTCTACTTTCAACAGTCTTCTTTTATTCATTGAATCTTTTGCAACTAAGCACTTAAGAGATATGGAGAACTGTAAAATCAAGCATCTTTGATCATATCTTCTAGACAGAAAAATTGTACAATAATCTTCCAGAAACCTCTGGAAGTGCATGACATTGTGAATGGATTAATAGAATTCATTTACCAAAAAAGTAAACATTGCATGAATATATAGCCTCATGCTTCGTAATTAAAAATTAAGCCTTATTTCATGATGAATAACCCGTGGACTATAATGTATCTTAAATAGATCTTTAGATACATTTTTTCTCAAAAAGCATTTTATTAAAAAATCCAATTTTAATAACTGATTTAAATATTAAAAATCCTTTTAAAAATCATTGTTTTTTATCTGCCCTGCTTTAAAACCTCTGGATTTTTAAAAATGGATTATAGCCTTTGAACATTCAGGCGTTGTTTGAGTTTTTACTTTCTACCCATCCTGCTCCATCCCAGCAGATGTATTGGTGTTTTCTGTTAGAACTTTTCCTCAAGAAAGGTAGTTTCTTTTTCCCGTCTGGAGGTTAATATGTCTTTCCTTTTCCACTTACCAGACTATCTCATAATAATAAACAATTACACAAATGATGCGTAGTTTCAGTGGTAACTGAATACTTCAGGAATTAAAAGCAGAATTTTTCAAGCTGTGTTTCCTTGGAAGCTTATCGGGGGTTATTCAGGAGCTAGAATAAAGAATATAGAGTATAAAGAAGTATAGAAGCTGAGCAGTGTGCTCTTGAAAGTCTTGAATATCTTCCTGTATCCAAATAACTTCAACTCATTATGTATGACCTTGATGGACAGTGGCTCTCAATTTGCATGAATGTTGTGATATGGAATGTGGTCATATATCTATGAAATATAATTGTACTTGAGTACAGTACATGAAGTACACATTTTCATTATATCTAGGTAAAGCAGTTGATGGCTGTTCCTGCTAGCTTGAGCATACTTGCTGTCCATGTGTATGCTGCTGCCCCTGAGAATGAAGCTTCCAAAAAAACCTTACTGAAAGTTGATGAGGTAAGATTCTGCCCTTTCTGTGTAAATAATTTATCTTGGATTAATCTTCACGCACAGTTTTAAGTGTGTGAATTCAGAGGTAAGGAAATTTATCTGCTTCCTGTTATGTAACTATCCTGTTTATACAGAAATCTCACAATGGTGCAATAATGCCTGATATTTTTTTATTGTAGAAGAACTTGACATGGGATAAGAGCTGTAAAAATACGTGCAGCTTTATTGTAAAACAAGCAGTAACTAACTTTGTGTTTGCTACTTTTCACAGCTTTCACTGTATACCAGTCCAACACCAACATCAAAATATGTTGAAGATTCACGAACACAGTTGGAGGAAAGTATCTGTTCTCTACGGCGGTCTCTGGAGCCTTTTACAGCCTGGTTTCAGGTATAGCAGCTTATAATACCAAGATGAGTCCCAAGAACCGAGCAATTTTGTTGTAGATGCAGTTATGTGTAGATCTCATTTCACAAATTCCTATTTGTGGAACCAACCTCACTTTGTACACTGAACTATAAATGTAATTAGCTTATTGTTGTCATTTCACCAACCCAGTACTGAAACTAATTCTGCCATTTCCTAAAAGCAGATATTAAAAAAGAATGTACAAAAAGATTTGTGCTTGATTTTCTTAAAAAGTCTAATGGTGAGCCAAAGACAGCACCTCTAATGTGCTGCTTGAGTACTAGCTATCAAACTCAGCTTGTGAAAGTGTTCTCTGGAAAAAGAGAAGGAGGAATGCTGCAGCAAGAGGAGAAGGAGAGGAGGAGATTTGCCACTCCTGTCTTGTAGTGCTCTGGCCACTTCCTGTAACCCATAGCAGGGTTGGTTTCCTAGGATGGTACAGCAGTTAATTGTGGTTTCAGCAACCTCACAAGCAAGCCATGGATTGTGAAGGTGACTTGTTGCCTATGAACAAGCCACCTGCAGCAAGTAGTCCAGGTTTTCATGATATGAAAGCGTACCATAGTATGTCACCCATGATGGGTATTGTCTCATTTGAACCTAGTAAGTGTCTTTTAAATGCTTACAAGTATTCATAAAAGAAGTTAGAACTGCCTAATACAGCATTGAAATCCGATTCTGTGCTTTTTCTTCCTGCTCAAAATTTCTGGTCAAATACTTGTGATACATTGTGACATTTATTTTTAAAGGTTTATTTGCAAATAGAAGTAAATAATCATGCTTAATGAGATCATTCTCTAGGCCTAGAGTTTAGGGTATACAGAAATATTTTGATGCAAAATATTCTATGCAAATTTTCATAGGAATAATTTCCAGGAAAAAAAATCAATTAAAAACTTTCTGTAATATCTATGTCACTACTTAACCTTGCAACCTGTGGTGCTTTTTATCATTTTATCATTTACTTGTGTGTGAGGTTCTATTGAATTAGTAGAAATAAAAAATACTTGATTAGAAAATACGTTATTTTCTAAAGTGTTAATGTTCTCTCTGAATTATGATGTTGGATAACTTGTACAGATATCCAGTAAGTCAATTGCCATTGACATGACAGTCTGTCCTTAAGTTCCTTTGCTTGAACTATGTCCAATGTGGCTAGTTCCTCAATCCATGCTTTGCCACAGGCAACAGTCCCATCCCAAGTATAATTGTAAAGGCCTCTTTTTATTGATGCCTCAGTTAATTCTGGGTATGTGCCAACTGCCTTTATGTGCCTCCTGCAGTTTTGAAGGGCTTTCTGCTAAGGTGGCTTCCAATCTAACCCTACACCTTTCTGTTAATTGGTTCTTTCTTTAACCTGATTTGGCCAGAGTCTTAGTTTTGGGAGTATCATTCCTTGTTGGATGTTAGTGAAAAAGATTACAGCTTAGATCCCCCTTGTGCCTCCTCCTTGTTCATTCAAGATTTGGATCTCAAGGTCTGCTTACTCTTCTAGAAGAAGTGATTATCTATGAAGTTCCAAAAGTGACAACAGGACAGGGCTGAGTAACACAAAACTCTATAAAATCAATTGAATTTATGTGCAACTTTGGGTAGAGCCACTTTCTCCTTCCTTTTAGTTAACACTGACTCTGCTTTTCCTATCAGTATCGGTTCTCAGTGAAAACATAGATTCACTGTCCATGTATGCACTTGGAATTGCTCTGCTAAGTTAATTTTCTCCAAAGTGACGTATGTATTTTAAATTCATACTTGTAATCATTAAGTACAATAATTGGTTTTCTAAAGCTTGTGTGTGAGAATTGTTTTGTATTTCCTTCCTTGACATAGATGCCCTATTAGCAGTATCTAAAGCATTCCCTTTCTTGTCAACACAAGGTTGTTCATGTTTCTTCTTCTTACATGAGTTTGTCCATATTTGTAAGAGGAGCACATTGGTAATAACACGCTACTGAATTGCTTTGGAATATATCTAGTGCCATCACGTGCTTGCAACACAGTAATTCAACACATTATTTCACTGTTTCCTCACTGTCTTTAGGACTTCTTTGGCAAAGTCTCACCAAAGGTAGAAAAAGCAGCTGAATATGGCAGAGGTAAGATTAAGTTCATAATTCTTCTCAACAAGATGTGGTTTTTGTAGCAAGGTTGTTATACAATGTTCTGTCAAAGTGAGTGTTGCCCTACTTGCTTATCCATAATTGTTTATTATCCTAGTTATATGTCTATATGTCATATAATGAGACTTTTCAGAAAAGTAGGTAGTATCTAGTTCTTGGAATTCAGACAGGAGGAAAGCATAATGCTTTGTGTCATTTTTTTGTAGAAATTATTTCTTAATATTTAATCTCAAATGGAAACATTTAATTGCTCTAGTTAAGTTGGGTTAGGGCATTTAAATTATCGGAATCCAGGCACAAATTGGACAAATATGTCCAGCATGTGCTGGGACTTAAACCATCACGAATTGTTCAAGCTGTGGTGATTGTGTGAACTGTTTCAAAATCTAGAGGAGGGGTTGGTAAATTGTTCTGTTGATGGCCATATTCTCTTATGGATGATCTGTTGTGGCTGCATATTAGCAATGAGCAGGGCTGAAGCCAACAATGTATAGAAGAGCCAAAAGTGAGTGGTCAACCCCTTTTAATCATACTCTTTTTCCTCTCTTTCTGCCACCTTCTTTTTCTCTCTCTGTCCTTCCTTACCACCTAACAATCAGCTACAAGAAGGACAGATTCTTCTTACCAGAAGTCTGAACACATATGAAACAACCTCCTCTCTAAGGCCTGCCTGGCATCAGCTATAATAACCTTTTCATGCCAGGCTAAATGCTCTATGAAAGGACACTTGATAAGCTGCTGATATAATGCTCCAGTACTGAAGCTAATCAAGTCATGATTAAATATGCATTAGCTGTCATTTCTGTTATGTACTGTCAAATCATCTCCAACTCATTGCAACTCTAGGAATGAAAGCCCTCCACAATGTCCTATTCATGACAGCCCTGCTCAACTCCTATAAATTCAAGGCTGTGGCTTTGTTCATGGAGTGAGTCCATCTTATATTTGGTTTTCCTTTTCTTCTTTTACCTTCAACTTTTCATAGCATGATTGTCTTCTCCAGTGAGTCCTGCATTTTCACAATGTGCCCCAAGTATGATAGCTTCAAGCTTTGTAATTTTTCCTTGCCAGGAAAGTTCTGCTTTGATTTGATCTAGGATCCGCTTATTTGTGTTTCTGTCCTTCCATGGTATTCACAAAGCTCTCTTCCAGCACCATGTTATGAACGTATCAGTTTTCTCCCTGTCAGCTTTTTTCACTATTAAGCTTTGGCATCTGTGCATAGCAATCAGGAATGATCTTGAACATGGTCTTCAATGAAACATCCTTATACTTGATGATCTTTTCTAGTTCCCTCATTGCTGCTCTTCAAGTCTCAGTCTTCTTTAAATTTCTTGGCTGTAGTCTTTCTTTGAATTGATGACTGAGCCATGGTATGCAAAATTGACAATTTCCATTTCTTCATTGCTGACTTTCTATAGTCATGTTTTTGTTAATGTTCAGCTGAATCCTGCTTTTTTGCATTCTTTCACTTGCATCAGAAGTTGTTTCAGCTCATTGTGGCTTTCTGATGTAACATGGTATCATCTGCACATCTTAAATTATTGATGCTTTTTCCACAAATTTTCATTCCTCCTCCCTCTGATCCTAATCCAACTCTCTGTATGATATGTTCTATGTACAGAAGGAGCAGATAGGGAGATAAAATGCAACCTAGCCTAATTCCTTTGCCTATAGGAAACTATTCTGTTTCTTGCTATTCTGTCTTAACAGTTGCTTCTTATCCATGAACTGGTTATGAATCAGGACAGTCAAGTGATGAAGTACATTCATTTCTTTTAGAGCCATCCATAGATTCTCATGATCATACAGTCAAAGACTTTGTTATAGTCTATAAGTCAAGGGGCTGCAGGTGGCGCAGTGGTTTAAACCGCTGTGCTGCTGGGCTGGTTGATCGAAAGGTCGCCGGTTTGAATCTGCACAACGGGGTGAGTTCCTGTTGCTCTGTCCCAGCTCCTGCCAACCTTGCAGTTTGAAAGCATGCAAATGCAAGTAGATAAAAGGTACCACTTTGGTGGGCAGGTAACGTTCCGTGCACTTCGGTGTTTAGCCATGCCGGCCACATGACCACGGAGACTGTCTGCGAACAAACGCTGGCTCCCTCAGCCAGGAAACGGAGATGAGCACTGCCCCCTAGAGTCAGGCATGACTGGACTTAATGTCAAGGGGAAACCTTTACCTTTACCTATAAGGGAAAGACTAACCTCAACTTCTTTGGTGCTCTCTGTTAGCCAACATGTATTTGAGTGCCCCTTTCTCTTTGGAATCCAACTTGAATAGCAGGCATTTCTTGCCCCGTGTAAAGTAATATTCCTTTGCTTGCATGGGATAGTAGTGCAATAGCCCTGTGGCTGCTGCATTCTTTTGCTTCTTTTTTCCTGGAGACTGAATTATATATTGAATGTTTCCAGTTCATGACCCATTGTTTTGTTTTTCATATTTGTTGGCATATATAAGATTTGGATGAAATCAGTCTCTGTAGCTTGGAATAGTTCTTTTGGTATTCTGTGTACTCCAGGTCCTTTATTCCTTCCAAGTGCTTTCAGAGCAGCTTTCATTTTGCATTCTAACAATGCAGGCTTTTCTTTATAGGATTCATCTCTGAAGGAGTATGTCATCCTTTCACCTCTTTTTTTATCATTCTTCTGTATATTGCTTCCAGATTCTCTTTATTTTCACCTGGCCAGATAGTATGTCCTCCCCTCCCCCCGGTTTGTCCTTCAGCATGTCTTATCTAGGTTTGAATTTCCCTTTAATTTTTTGTACCATCTGGGTTTCTTGTTTTTCCTCTTTTGTTTTATGTATGTATGTATGTATGTATGTATGTCACTTGTATTCTTCCCCATACCATGGGGGCTCTCTGGACAGTTCAAAGACAGTGGCATGCAAAATAAAATCAGCAATTTAAAAACCATAATTAACATGGAACAGGAGACAATGCAGGAGACATGACAAATAAAAGCAAGCAGTAAGAAAAACAAAACCGTAATTATACTAAAAACAGGTACAAAATAAAAATGTCTTCATCTGGCAACAGAGGCTATTTCTTTGCACTGGTCATTGTAATAATTCTATTTATCTCTAAGTTATAGTCAGTGAAAAGTTGCATTCAGAATTTTGACCATCTTTCTATCTCCTTTTGCCTATCCTTGGCAAATTGAGTGTTTCTTCTGTCACCGATCCTTCTCTTCTCTTCTCTGGAGGGGTGGAGGGACACAGAAGAACTGTCTTTTGACATGTTTCCTTAATAATGATTCTGGTTTCAGTCCACAGTTTTTCTGGCTCATGGGCAATTGAATAATGCAAATCTTTTCTTTATGTGGTTTTTAAATTCCTCCAGTTTATGCCAGTGATCATTTTTTATCTTGAACTGATTTTTGAGATTAATAGTCTATGGTCACTCCTGTGAACTCCTCCTTGTCTTGTTTTGGCAGCATGAGTACAGATTTTGCATCTTCTACTTCCAATTAGATAGTCTATATGATTTCTGTACTGGTGATCTGGTGATGTTCACGTGTACAGTTCTCTGATTAGTTGCTTGAAGAAAGTATTTGTGAAAAAAAAAATTGTTGGCTTCACTGAATTCTATGGGTTATTCTCCTGCTTTCTTTCTTATCCCAGGCCAAATTCTCCTACAATGTTTGATTCTGCTTTATTTCCTACCTTTGCATTTCAGTCACCTAGGATTATCAGCATGTCTTGTTTGGCGTGTCATCAATTTCTTCTTGAACACCTGCATGAAGTTTTCAATTTCTTCTTCAGCATTTGCCATTGGAATGTAGACTTGAATTACAGTTATGTTGATAGGTTTTCCACAAATTTTGATGGATGTTATTCTGTTGAATCTTGCATTATAGCCTCTTATTACCTGTGCTACTTTGTGCCTCAGTATTAGAGCTACTCCATTTCTTCTGAGTTTGCCATTTCTGGAATAAAACAGCTTGTGTTTGTCCCATTGCAGTCCACTTTAGTTCACTCACACCAAGTGCTCTGATGATACGCTGTTTCATTTCCTGCTTTACTGTTTCCAATTTGCCTTGATTTGTACTTCTCGTATTCCATGTTTGAATTGTATGTGTTGTGCAGTATCAGACTTTCCTTTCGCCTTTGTTCATGTCAGCCACTAGATTTCCTTTCAGCTTTGATCTAGTTGCATCATTAGCAACAATGCTATTCGTGCTTGTTTTTTGTTCTTCCCCAGTAGCTGGTTGAGTGCCTTCTGATCTGGGGTCTCATCTTCTGGCACTATCTCTTGCTTCATTTAGGATTCTTTCATCATAGGGTTTTCAAGGTAAGAAGATTCAGAAGTGGTTTACCTTCTTCTGAACAGTACTAACGAGCGTTAGCTTGAGCTCACTGCTGCTCTTTGTGAAAGATTGTCCACCAGTGTTGCCATCAACCAGACTACTACCCCGTGACTGTCTCTTGGAAGTTTTTCCACTCCATCACCATTAGAGTGATCCATTCTCTTCTGCTCGTGTGACCATTCTTCCTGAAGAGGGTGGATACATCTTAATTTCATGTCTCTGCTTTGACCATTCCACCTTGGGTGACCCTGCTAGGGGACCAACCTAGTAAAATAGTCCCACTATAGCAAGCAAAAGTATTTTATGCTGTTTTGATAATAGTAGTAAAAGAAACTTCTTCCATGAAATCACAAAGCAAAAAATTCTCAAAATGAATCCCTTTCTAGGACAGGAGAGGGAAGTGTTAGCTGCATATAGTTTTTACCATGGGTATTTTTATGCCTCCCTCACCACCAAATTTGCTGCCCTGGAAGCTCACTGGGGAGTGGAGACAAAGTTCAAGCTCCCTTCATGCTTGATTTCCAAGCAAAATTGCTGCTTTTTGCCACCACTATGGAAAGAAATTTGGGGGGCCAGGGTGAGGAGGGGCGGGGCCATCTGACAGCCATCTGGGGTTGGACCTGATAGCCCTCATGGTCCCTTCCAATTCTATGATTCTGTGATCCATGGCTTCTGTTGGATGAGCAGTGTGGCTTATTTGCATTGAGAAATTGTGTACCCCTGTTCAAGAATATAGTCATTTGTATCCAGTGGTGGTTTCACCTTTGTAGAAAGACCTTTCACTCACTTAAGTCAACACACATACTTTTTGTAGATGTATCTCTTCCTCCACCCAACCAGGTCATACCCAATTCTGCAGCCCTCCATGCCATACCCAGTTTTAGATGGCTGTACAGTCTTCTTGGAAGAGCTATGGGGGTATGACAGGCAGCATCCTGTCCGCTGTATTTTCTTCTTGAAAATCACTCTTTTTCCTTGTGCTGTGTGCTCCATTTCTGGGCCTGGGCCGGCAACCATTTTCAGTGGAGAAAATGGCATAGAGAGAAAGGATTAAAGCTTTGCAGTCTTAGTCTGAAATGTGGAGGCTTCCAAGGTTTGTATGTGCTGTTAGGCTAATGTTGGTGGAATGGGAGGAGTGGCAGAGGTAATTTTTGCCTCCCCAGTCTCTGGTCTCCTTTATTTTAGCTAGATGAATCAGTACATATAGTGACAGCACTTCAGAAGGAGAAGGAAGGAAGCTGGAACTGATTCATGATAATGTGTTTCCTGGCTTCTCCCATCTCTTCTTTGTCCATTAGAACATCCCTGTCCTCCTCCTCTGAGGCCACTTTCGCTTCCTTCAAGATCAGCTGGTTCCTTTCTGGGGTGGGGAGGGTGCCAGAGCTTCACCTTCCCATTTTGTAGTCAGAGAACTAAGACTATGTCTTCAAAGGGGTTTCCCTAGCCTCCTTATGGTCCTTGGGATGCTTGCTCAGGGGCCATGGGGTTGTGCCTTATGATATTTGTAGTTGTACTCAGTCATTTCTAGTAGAAAATATAAAGAATGCTTCTAAATCTAGCATGTGTAATATTTCATGGTCTACTTTTTCTTTTAGAAGGCTATGAATTTCTCCAGAATCCACCTCCAGGATTTTATCCGAGACTTGGTGTCATAGGTTTTGCTGGTATTGTTGGGTTGTTCCTGGCTAGAGGTATGTCATAGCTAATAATGTCTATCTTCAATTCTTGGTGTAAACCTACTTCTTCGGCAACCTGAATCTTGAATCATAGTGATGTAAACTTAACTGTTTAAGGCAGGGTGAGCAACTTGTGGTCTATCAGATGTTTTGGCCAAAACAACTCTCATCAGTTAGTATAGTCAGATGTGAGGGATGACGGTCCCTCACACAAAGACATCTGGAGAGCCACAGATTGCCCACCCTGCTCTAGAGCCTTTTGAAAGTCTTCTACACATTAATCAAAAATCTATATCTGTTGTCATTTGTTGGGAAGAGGCCATAGCTCAGGTAGCAAGTGCAGACTTTGTGTGCAAAAAATCCCAAGGTCAGTCCCTGGCACCTGCAGATACGGGTGAGAAAGATTCCTAAAACCTTGGGGCATCTCTATCAGTCATTGTAGACTTATACTGAGCTTGATGGCCCAATTGGTTGACAAGATAGAAGGTAGATTTGCATAATCCTAAAGAAAGGTTCTCTGAAGAGGTCGAAGTTTTGTGCATTTTAGGGGTTTCCATGGTTTAGTTATTAGGAACAGAAGAATTACCAATATGTTCAAATGCTATACAAGCAGGATTTTAATTGTGGGAACTAGTCTACATGTTCATCATGACTTGGGTAGTTCCAGAGAGGACCTGTCCCAAAGATAGCCTTTGGCTATCATGTTACATAAAGAAAGAAAACTATTAGGTTACACTTAAGATGCTGTTAAGAGGAAAAAGTTTTAGTATAGGAACAGGCATAGTCACTCATACTCCCTGGAAATTATTGAATAAAATAGCTCTAGAATCAGATTCTGCCACATTTAGAAAACTAACAGGCACTAACTACTAAGATCCATTTTATGTTTCTATCATATAGAATTTAGTGGTTTTCTTTGCCTCCTAGGACACTTTAGATTTCACTTAAAGCGGTAAAAATGACTCTACTGATGATTGCAGAAAAATAGTAACTTGTGGACACAATCGGTCAAAGGCTCAGAAACTAAACTAGAGTATACTTTGCATTCAGATCCACTTTGTTCCTTAATATCTTACTCTTTAAAGTCAATCTTACTTTATTATTCTACTTAATTAAATGCTATTGTTCAAACAGCATTCTCTCTTTCAAAGTAATTCTTGTAACAAAACATACTGTATGACTTTGCATAGCTTCAACTGGCTGATGAATTTGTGCTTGATGTGTGGATGACCTTCAGAACATCAATTGGTCCTTTTTTTAGAAGTATGAAAAGTAATGTATTTTTCTTGTATATAACAGCTTCCAAAATAAAGAGGGTTGTTTATCCAGTAAGCTTTATTGGGATTAGTGCTTCTCTCTACTATCCACAGCAAGCCATTGCCATTGTCAAGGTAGGTAACAGTGGGAAATTGCATGTCATTTCTATTCAAATAGCTTTAAATATGATTTTCAATATAGCAAATGCTCTTATTTGCTGTTATTCTTGGCTTTGGAATGATAAACTCACAGCTTGCTTTTATTGCTAATAGTTTGCAGTAATAGTCCATTCAGTCTAAAATACCCGAATGGCACAATAACCTGGTTCATACATCATGCAAAGCTGTGGTGGCTAATTCTGGTTGGTTGCAGGTAGGTTTAGTGTGACATCTAAAACTCGAGTGATTTTTCTGGTTTGTTGGTTTATTTATTTATTATTTAACGTTTTTCTATACCATCATTAATTAAAAATCTCATGTTTTTTTCTTTTTTTGCAAACAAACCATGCAGAGAACTCATGGCTATTAGATTGTTTTAGGTGATTTGTTTTCAGGGTGGCTTGTTGTGATGTCTGAACCTGGCAGGACAGTTTTATTGTGGGTTAGTGGAATGGCAAGATAGTCACCTGGTGAAAACCATTGCTACTCCTCACAATCTTGCTAGTGCCACTGCTATTCTCCCTTATCCCACTTCTGTGCCTTTTACTTCAGGGTGGAGTTTGAGACTCTTCTTTGATAGGAAACTTGAAAAAAACCTCAAGTCCAAAACACATTCATAATTTTAACAAGAAAAAACTGTTGCACAAGTGGACAGGAGTGAATGTTCAGTTCTAGGAATTTTCTCCTTTTCTTTGTTGCTCAGCCATGAAATGTGCTTATATAGGACAGGAGTCTTTAATGTCAGTGGTTATGGATACTTGCAGAAAACCTGTCTTTTATAACTGTACATCTGCTTTCTAAACCAAGCAACCAATTGCAGGAAAATAATAATATGTATTCATACTTTTAGTGGAGAAGGTGGCAAAAAAGCATTGGTCACCTCCATTGTATCTTCATTGGGGTGATGAAGAGCCTTTTGCAATCTTGAGGGGAGAGAAAGAGAGAAATGCACTCTTTAGCAGCACACTTGTGCAACACTTGGAAGGTAAAGCTTCTGATATCTGCCACAATTTGGATTCCACAGTTACTGCACTCCCAGTAGTGGAGATATGCAGAACTCTTTCTAGCCCGGTTGGATGAGTTTGCATCCTCCAGCCTCAGGAACTGAAACTCAAACAGGGTGCTTGGTTATGTTTAACCAGCTACTTTATGCTTGAACCTTGCCCTTCTTGGTTAGTTAAATTTAGAAGAGGAAAGTTTGACCTGTTGGATCCAGGAAGTTGCAAATTTCTGTTTGAGAGAGGGGTTAGTACCATCTACTTTATCAGACCACACCTTAAAAATCTTAACCTGGACTCAAAGAAGAAAACAATTGAAGGCTGATTGCTAACTTCTTCTTTGTGGGGGATGTGCTTGAGTGAATAGTGGCTGATCGATTCTAGGCTCCCCAGGATGAAACTTATTTTCTTGATCCTTTCCAGTCTGGTTTCAGACCTGGATTTGGCAAGGAAAGGAAACTGCCTTGGGTGCCTTGTGGGATGACTATGCCAGGAGAGGGTCATTTGTAATGAACCCTTGGACTTCTCAGTGGCTTCAATACTATCAACCATAGTATCTTTCTGGATAGGCTGACTCAGGTGGAATGTAGAGCTGCTACATTGCAGTGGTTCTGATACCGCTTGAATGGCTAGTTGCAGAAGGTGGTACTGAAGGATTATTGCTCTGTCCCATGGCAATTGTGCTGTGGAGTTCAGGTTCCTTAGGACTCTAATCTGCCCTCCATAATTTTTGATGTTACATGAAACAGTTGAGGGAGGTTATCAGGGAGAGGTTTCTGTCACCTAAACAGAGTGGTTAGATTGCTAGCTGGCATGGGTTATCACAGTCATATGTTATAATGACTGCTGGACTGTTGTCAGGTTTTATTCAAAATGTTAAAGCACTTTTAGTGAACAGATTGTGAAAGATTGTGGGAAAGTTATCTGAAGGAATGTCTTCACATTTAACTTGCTGGGTATTCAGATTGTTGTCTGAGACCCTCTTCCAAGTGCTCCTGCCAAATGAAGCAAGTTGTGTGGATGTGAGAGACAGAATATTCAGTTGTGGCACCCTGATTATGGAATAGTCTCCAAAAAAGAGCCTCACTTGGAACTTAATCTTAGGTCATTTCAGCTTCAGATGAGGACCTTTTTATCCTAGGCATTTTAGGAACTGCTGTATTATGCTGTCATTTTAATCTGTCTTAAAGATGTTATAATGGTTTTATTCTTTGCTGCTGGTTATATTTTCATTTTATTCTGTCATTTTTTGTTTTTTATATTTGTACTATACACTTGAAATGCATTGTGCACTGCCCATGGAAGTTTTGGGAGGTTTAAAGGAACAGTTTCCAACACGTTAAGTATTGAAACAAAATATGTGACACTGAATGAGAACTGAAAGTGATATACTCTGAAATTTACAGACTTTGAGTACAGATGCTGCACAATGTGTTTACAAGCTGACTTAGAGTCTAAGCCATTAATTAATCAGGATTTCTTCGTATCAGTTCTTGCAGTTGAAACTTTAAGCTGCTGTTTTCAGATTCTATTCCACCCAAAAACAAATATTATCTGGTTAGATTCCAAACATTAAATGACTGCAATGTTGTAGAATCAAATACAATAGAGTGCGATGCAAAACAGCAGACAGCACAGGAATCAATGCAACAACCATAAAATTAGCTCTAGATGTCTAAAAACCGTGGGAGGCAGAATATATTTTGCCTTGCACTGAAAAGGTAACAAAGTAGGCACCAGGAAAAACCTCTTTGGGAATTCTGTTCGCATGCCACAACAGAGAAGGTGCTCTCTTGTAGCCACCTGTCTACCATCCTTGGGCAGAGATACCTGGCAGAGGGCTTCCAGAGGTGAGCTAAGTGCCTGACCCATATGAGTACGTACGAGTGAAGACATTCTTTTAGATACTCTGGTCCAAAGCAATTTAAAACTTTATAGGTAATTACGAACACATTGAATTCGGCCTGTAAAACTGGAAACAAGTATAGGAATTCCCAATAGCAATGGAATTATTGAAGGGTTTGTGTGGAAAAAATTAGTGGTTTTACCTTCCAGTGTTCAATTGAAACATCTAGGAAAGGAGGAATGTGTTTGTGTGACACAATTTGAATATTTAAGGTGCTTTGTAAGTGATTTAAACTAGTTTCTATTTACAGCAACTCTCAAAGCATGGTAAGAAAGATAGTTCTTAGTTTGCTTTGTGCTGATCTTCCTTTTTGCTCTGTCTGAAGATATTTCTTTATGTCTTGTTATTGTCATTACTGTTGACATTTGGAAGTGCTTAATAAAGCTGCCCAGATAGAAGCACTAGTCCAGTTAATAATTGTTTATTATTTGCTCTATATTGCTTGTGTGGAAAGCCAAGATAATTTTTTGTTTCATCCTGTGTGTGTGCGTGTGCACACATGCGCATGCGAGGAATTGCTTATACAACTGATTTTACTTGTGGCTTATCAGATGGAAATCCATGTACTATATGTAGGGTGGCTTTTGCTATGGCAGCAAATATTTTGAATATTCAGGCGTACATTCTGAATGAAGTGACTGTTAACTGTACAAGTAATTTTGCTGCTTTATTATGTAATTTTTAATTTTCCCTGCTGATATTAGGCAGGATCAGTGTTTGGTTGAAATGGTCTGTGGTTAAATACAATAAAAGTGACTTGACTAACAGTCTTGACAAAATATCTTAATTAAATACTGATAGAGCTGAAAACAAAATTGAAATATGGTTGCTAAATTGACTGTTTTTTCCCAGGTAACTGGTTCTCAGTTGTATGATTGGAGTCTGCAAGCATATATAAACATAGAATCTCTCTGGAAAGATAATCCAAAAAAGAAAAAATTGGCAAAGGCAAGTGACAAGGTATGGATTCTGAGAGGTTTGTGATCCAACAGGTATTTGTCCACAAGATGTCAAAATACAAAATATAAAAGTACAATATAAAATATAAAAATTCAATATAAAACGTCAATTATTAAAACAATATAAACACATCACAACTTAAGAAAAAGGAGGAAAAAAGGATGCAGCTGCTTGATAGGTTCCTAGGCATCCAGTCCATAGTTTCACATCTGTATCTTCATTTCCTTTATCTGCAAACATAGGGCATACTGTGCCCTGGTGAGGGACATTTAAATACCTATGTTGCTCAAAGCCTGACCCTGATGTACAGTGGTGCCTCGTAGTTTCAACAACTCTAACATTGAACTGTGAGCAAAGGGAAAAAAATGCAGTTGCAGCAAAAATGTCATTGGTTGTGTGCCCAGGTTGAAAGTAAAGCTGATTCCTCCCATCTTGACTTGAATCAGTTCACCTTGAATTGATTCAGGTCATCAAGGCAGCCATGACAGTGCTGGGGTAAGCATGTTCAAAGCAAGGGGGAATATTTTGAGGTGGATTAATGGGAATGTGTCTTTTACTGTAATAATTATTTTAATTTAAACATTCACCATATTTTTGGTCACACCTCATATATAATCTGGAACTTAATTCATTTCAGGAGGCCATACTTGCTGTTTAAGTTTACCAAAATGGGAATTGTTTAGGGTCTGGGAACAGATTAATTCACTTTCCATTATTTCTAATGGGGAAAATTGATTTGGACTTCAAAGGATTCAGGGTTTAAACAGCCTCCTGAAACAAATGAGGTACAGAGCATCACTGTATCTATCAAGGAAAAAATGTTCATACCGAGGGTAGGAGTACTCCAGATATCACATCTGCATAACAGCTTCTGTGTGTACATAAATTTTAAAAGGTCCCCGCTGAGGTGTGAGAATGATGAGCACTTGTATTCAGAAGGTGGGATTGTCCTCATGTGTGATAGTATTCTCAACAAACAAGCATTGCTTTCCTTAAATTAGTTAAAATCTAAATTGTCAGAAAATTAAACATGAATTTTCCATCCATCTTTTCCTTTAATAGTGTAACTTTGCCTAGATAAGAGAGGTTGCTGCCACCATATCCACCAGAGCATTCTTGTGAGATAGAAATTTGCTACCTAATCTGTAGGCATTGGCACTGTCCTAGTTTGGTTAGATATTCCTTCTTTCTGGCTAAACATAACTTATAGGTGATAACTTTGGTGGTCACCTAAACTGTGGTTAATGATTTGCAAGGAATCTCAATGAGTCTAGGGTTTGTGCAGTCCTCCCCTTTTGTCATTGCCGTCCATACAAGAGGGAGACTGAAAGCTTCTATTTTCATTTGTGTGAACAGCTGTGGGAAGCTTGTGACCCTTCTACTGTTTCTGGATTATAACTTCTTGCCCCTGGTCCCCAGGAAAGTAGATACTCTCTTGCATCAGATGATGCAGGCCTTGGGGTCAGAAAGGTTGTACAACCATGGTTTAGGTGATAGTCCTTCTGCAGTCCTTCTGTGATATATGGCCATACTTAACTGAAAATCCAGATTTAGTCACTGGCCCTAATAGGAAACTCCAAAATATACACAGAGACAAAACTAAATTTAGGTACTGCTTTAGAAGTGGTCCAAACATGAGGGTATATAATCTCCTGCAACAAATGCTTATTTTGTAGAGGCAAATAGTTTTGTAAGAATTTCTTTCCTTGTGAAAGTGTCTGCTTCTGTGTAACACCATTTTATCTCTTTTTTAAGGGTGACGTGGAAAGTGATAAAACAGTGAATGTACAAGTAGGAAAAGCAGTAAAATAGAACTCTCCAGTGCATCTTATTTAAACAGGTACAGTTAAACAAATTAATACGTACATGAGATTAAACTTGAATTTCCAAGGGTAGGGATCATGGTTCACTTGTAAAGCATCAATTTTGCATGTAGAAGATCCCTTATTTAATCCTTAGAATCTCCAGTTAATAAGAGTAGGTGATGATGTGAAAGAATTCTGAGTAGGCAACAGTGAGTTATATGTCCAAATAGCTGCATTGGGATGTAATACTAAACCTCAGTTAGTGTCACAGTCATGAGCTTAGTTTCCCTCAAAATTGTCCTCTCCTCTCATTTCTTCTACCATGGCTTTGAGGAAATTGGAAACTTCCATATACATTTTAGATTGACCATGGTTGAATGTGTTGCCTGAACCTAAACTGGTTGCTCTTAACCAAGACTAGTAAAAACAAGACTCCTTCATAAATCATTGTTTGAAGTTGTGTACATTAGCCTTGCTTAAGATTAACCACAGTCTGTTCAGCTTTGAGCAGCATAGTACACTGCAGTTAATCTAAGATGGAACCAAGCCTCCTTGTGATCATGTCAGAGTAGTGCGAGTGCTTTTGTTCTGAGCCTAGGGGAGGATTTATGCATTCTCAGTGAATCTGAACCAACCCATTTGACCTTTCTGGTTATATTTTCCTATTTAGCTAAGCCATTTCCCTATTTATGTAGCAAATATGCTAGTCTGACAAGTGTTTAGGACTAAATAAATCTAGATATTTTCTTATGTCTTGTTTCTTAATTCTTGTGACTTCAAATGCAAGAATGAAACACTCAGAACAGTGATTGCCTGTAGTGCCACTTTTTAAATCATTAGCTGTGTTTTATTGCATTTGTTATCTCTGTTGTCCATTCCAAAGGTGGGGTAATGTGTATAACATTTTAACTACAGCAATAAAATACTTTGAAAAGCCCAGAACTCTGTAAAAGCTTAACCTCTTAAAGAGCAACTCAAAATATAAATCACACTAGTGTCTTATCTCTGGAATAGCATTTTGCACAATGTGAATTGGTTCATAGTTCACTGGCAAAAATTATGCTTTGCAGTGCCTTGTCATTTTCTATTAAAAATATTTCGCATATGATTTGAGAGATCTTGGGAGCTAATCAGAAAACTATTGGCAAGATGGACTATGGGCCTTATTCAATATAACTAAGCTTTATCTGTTCCCTTTGTCCTCTTAATGGTTCTTGCTGTGGCAGGGATTGGGGAAGAACTACAGCTACCCATAATGGGTCTTGGATAATGAGATGACAATATCCAGATTCTGGAAAAATCCAGCTTCTGTTTCTTTTGGGCTACAAATAAAAGTATTGCTCTATCTGTAGCAGGAACTCCCTTTTGGGTCAGTGGACACATTTGGAATTTTGAGAAAATGTTGAGAGTGCTGTCACAAAATGACTGCCATGGTAGGTGCGGTCAGGCTTCCATTTTTCAGAAAGACAGCCTGTTGAGGCTGAAATACAAGGAAGTTATTCCAGAAGCAGAGCACGAACTGAGATAGAGTCATGACCCAGGTGCTAAACTCACTCATTTCACTTTACAGTTCATGTGTGCACTCATTCACCTCCTCGCATAATTATATGCACACTCCCAGTTCATGTTCCTTGCATACAAGGTTTTCTAATCCCACCTACTTCTTGTTCTCTCAGTTTCAACTCCACCCTGCAGTCACTTTGCAAACTCCCCTGTCCTCTCAAATTACTTTGCAGAGCATGGATCTGTTGTTAACTGCCCAGAGACCTTTGACTGTTGGATGATATAGAAATTAAATAAATAAATTTCCTCTTTACCCTATTGAGTTGACACACTGCTAACCTGGAACCGTTTCCACAAAGTAGTGACAGGTTCAGTTTTTTCTCTCTCATGGAGCAGCTAGGAACCTTCTGAAGGTACTGTCATCCAGTCATCCACAATTTTTACTTCTCAGGAATGTTTCTGTTTCTACTTGGACCTGGAGGCAATCCTGGGAATTAAGTTGGCAGGCAACCAGAGGACAATGCTTTGGAGCAAGTGCTCCTGGATGTTTGAAAAGATCAAATTGAGAAGGTGCTGGAAGAAGGTGGTGTCTGCATGTGTAGTAGGTGCTGCATTGCAGTATCTTGATCTCTGACTAAAGTTTCTGCTTCCTTTTTCCCAGAACCATCAAAGTAGCTCTAATACTGCCTTCTCACTGGAAGGCAGCATGACAATTTAGAAACACTTCCAAATGTATTTTTTATACAGAAGTACTTACCCTTCACAATATGGAAATGCTTACTGTGGACTTCCTGAAAAAGAGCAATTAGGCTTTGTTGGCCATGCTCCCCTTCCTATGTGAAAATACGTCTGGCAGGGAGTCATCCAGTGCTTGAGAGAGTAAATCTCTCTCCTCTTTTCTCCTCCACTTGGCAAATAAGGCCTTGTTATGGGATTATATGTTGGAGATATTCCCTATATATCCTCAGGCATGTAGGTTAAAGCTTAAAGCATGAAGACAAGGAACGATAACAATGAATGATGGAGCAGGTTGGAAATGCTTGGTTTTTCTTATTGTGGATTCCTTTAGACCAAGGGTGGGTGGCCTTTTTCCTGCCGTGGGCTGCAGATTCTCATGTCTGAGGCCAGATATCAACAGTGAGTGGGCTCGAAGCTGGCATCTTGTACGCAAGAACCAAAAGTAGATGGATGATCACTTTTCCTCTTTCTTCTGCTCTCTTTCCTTTTTTTTCTTACCATCTTTCTTCCAACACAGCAGACTGCCAGAGAAGAGACAGATCACTCTTGCCAAAGCTCTGAACTGATTGCACGGAGAGGATCTTGTGAGGACTTTGGGTTGCTCACTCATGACAATTGTTTTGTTCCAGGCAAACCTGGATTGGGGTACATCTAGTGCTTTTGACCATTTGCTACGTTTGTAATTCTGGAGTCTCCTATATGGTGCCCATGAAGACCTTTCTTGGCAACAGCCAATGTTTTTATTTTATTTTTAAAATTTCTTTTTGGTAAGAAAAACAGTTAGGATGCTGGCATACCACAAAATGAAGTACTAGCAATATCTTTATATGGGTTTAAAAGAGTCATTTAGTGTTTTTGGAGCTCAGACCACACGTCTGGCCTGCGCTTAGGTACTCTGTTACTCTCACAGTTCACTTTCTGCAAAATGAGTGTCTTATGGCTGACTGTGCCCACCCTGGCAGCCACTATATGGATGGGCACCCCATTTTAGCCACTTTGTAAGCTCCCATAAAACTCAAATTCCAAATGTGCCCAGCAACTCAAAAAAATTTGTGGGGGTGTTCCTGATATAATTTTACAACAGGCCTAGAACTTGTATATCAATGTACACATCTGCAGGAGTTTTACTTCACTTTACCAGATTAATTCATTATACTATCTTTCTATTATTTTTGAACATTTTTTATTTTCTTAGCATAAACAAGTACACAAAAAGAATGTGAAACAGAACAACCTAAAATGAATAAAGCAAGCTAAAATAAACAATGTTGCCAAGAGAATTTTAAACAAATACAACCTATACATTTATCCCCCCAGATCTATCTTCCTGTCTTTCAACACTCTTTGAGCGTTTAACAAAAAAGAAATCATTACACTATCTTTAAAATATTCTATATAAGATTTTGGCCAGTTTCACTCATTCATGTGAACAGAACACATTTAGGAATGCTAACACATGTAAAGAGAGATGAAGAAACTCTAGCACCTCAGGCTACTCTTCCAGAAGTCTTAAGGCAGCCTTCCCCAACCTGGTACTTCACTGTGTGTGCATTCAGGAGAGAACTAGATGGTTATCCCAGTTTTTACCTGTGATGGCAAAGCTTGCTTATGACATGCAAGTATCAGGTAGAGAAAACTGGCCTGCAGTAGTGGTGGCTTGGGTCAGTTTTCAGGTCCAGGAGACTAGGAGAGGAAGAATATCTTTTAGATTTAACTGCAGTCATAGTAGATAAAGGTATCTTGTCATAGCTAGATCAGCAATTGTAATTTGTAATTAAGGAAATTAAAATGCTTCATTATTTTTAGATGCTTCCAGTAGTATTGATGTAGATACATGCGTAATAATTTTGAACCATATGGACTTCCTAGATTTTGCTGTGGGATGGATATTTCAAGTTGCTGACATATGAAGATTTGTCTTGTTCAGTGTCTCAGAGATAGTACTGCTACTAGATTCATACTGCAGCTTTATATGAATCCACCTCTACTCCTGAGGCTAGTCAAGTGAGATGGTGGGTAAACATATGCACAGGATGGATATATTTTACTTGGATCTAGGCATTTGGTTAGTAACTTTAAAACTGATCATGAACCTGTACTGAGACAGCACTCCAACTGTGTGATGCTTGTTTAACTATGGTTAGGTGACTATCTTGTCCAGCCTTAGTAGTAGCCTTTGAAGGTGCTATACTCTGAATTGTTAATTAAAAAAAAAACCAACTGAGATCCACCCATTGAGTACAAATGAATAAAAAGCCTCCAAGAGATCAACACTTTTCTAGAAAATCACAGAACCTGTGGTGACTGTGGGTATTGTTTGCCTGTGTCTTGGTTCAGGAACAAACTAGCCTTACAATCTGACTGAAAACACCATATCTGGATGTGGAGGGATACAGCCTCATCTTCTGTCAGCCTTGGACTTTAGGTCAGAGTTCTGCAAGATTACTTACAGGACCTGGGCCTTCATCTGCAATTGTGAATCCTACCTGCAAGGAAGTATGTTCCACTGTATTTAATGGGACTTAATTCCAAGTTAATGCTTAGGGTTGGATTACCAACTGAATTGCAAAACTCCTCAATCCCTTATTTATAGGCTTAATTAAAATGAAGATTAAAAGTTTTGCTGCTTTTCCCTTTCTTTTTTTTCTGCACAAACATTTAACCAAAGTCTGTATACTGTGGTGTCAAAAGAGAATGGATTAACATTCTAAGTAAGAACTAACAAAGATTACTTGTGTGTTGTGGGGTGGGAGAGCTAAATAGAACATATCAGCAATAAAGTTTTGTCTGGCAGTAGGCTAGCAAAATTGACAAAAGGATCACAAATACAATGGCCTTGTCTCTTGTTGGAGTTTCCCCCCTTCCCTGCAAATCAAACCCTTCTGGATGATGAAGGTCAGTGGGAAATGTATAATGGAGCATCTGTGAGTTTCTCTCTATAGATTGATGGGAACAAAACTCTTTGTTTTTTTCTTTTGCGATTTTTCCTTGCCTGAATACACAGCTCAGTAAGGGCCAGAACGCTGAGCTGGTGGGAACCAAGTATAGCATAGCTAATGATTTATTCTTGTTTATTCTTGCCAAGAACTATAGAACAGGAGAGTTCAAACATTTTGTGTAGGGTCAGACATAACAGATAAATCTTTCATTGCTTGAAGCCATTTCAGTTTATCATTTCCAAATGAAAACAGCCTGGTAGAATGATAGAATATAGCCTCGTTAGCTGTTTTGGTCACAATAAAAGTTGAATGAAATTTAAGAATTTAAGACAAAATGGCATGAGCCATTCAACAATTGAAATGGCAGTAGTTTCAGCGTTTTAGGGGGTCCTCATTTTCTAATATTGTGTAGTATCTTGTAACTACTGTATAAGATATCCTTTACCATTCAGAACGAGGATATGTGGCCAAGGTAATAATGTAGTTCTGTGTCCTGTTAATAAGAACAGCTGTGTGATGGCTCTGTGACTCCCTTCAGAATTCGTATTTGTATGTATATATATGCACAAGGAAACAACTCAGTAAACCTCAGTCTTACCAAACTGCTCTGCAATACAGTGGTGCCTCTGATGTAAGCTTTAAAAAAACCCCCAAAATATTAGAACCCTAGCTCTTCTGTTTTCATACATGCTCCTTCTTTGCTAACAATTTACCTCATTAGTTCAGCTTGTTTCAATCTTAGACACGTACAATTAAATGTATTTTTGCTCACTTTAATTTTAAACCTCCAGCAGCAATTCTGAGGGTTGAATTTAAACAAAAGATAAGTTGCAGCTGCACTTGACTAAAGACCAAGTGCCTGACAATTTGAGGGCAATAAAGGGCTTGTCAAGTCCAGCAGCCTGTTTCTGTTAATTGCCAGACAGATGCCTCCAGGATGATAAACATGAGTGCTGGAATGGGTCTTGGGAGATCTGGGTTCTAATTCCCACTCAGCATGATGCACATTAGATGACTTTGGCCAGTTCCTGCTTTTCAGCTTAACCTACCTCACAAGGATGTTGTGAATATAAAGTAGAGAGGAGGAGACCCTTGTAAGCCACCTTGGATTCCTTGCAAGAGGATGAAAGGCAAAATATAAATACAGTGTTGTGGTAGTGGTGGATGATGATGATGATGATGATGATGAAGAAGACAACGACGACAATGGGGCAGGTTCACACATCATGGCAAGCTACCCTACAATGAAACCATGTTGGATTGGTTGTTCACTGAACAACCCATAGCATGCCCAACAGACAATAGGGCTTACTGTTTGTTCTCACCTTCCTTCCCTCTTAGTCCTCCATTCAGCTCTAGCATGTATCTTAGTAGCCTTTGTGACTCAACCTATCTTATCTCCCTATCCCTGCTCCAGTTGTTACTATTTTCCATTTCCTATTACTGATTCGGGGATTTGGGAAGCGATTGAGTCTCCATTTTTGTTAGGCCTCTGAAATTGTGCTTTTCTGAAATTTATTTTTTTGTCCTTCATGGGTACACATGTGTGTATTTAAGTCTATTTCAGATTTATAATCTTGTCTGCTCAATTTCCTTGTCTGTTTCAACTCTTAAAGGGAGGGAAACCAGGGCTCCATATTATAAGCTAATTTGAGCACAGTTCCAGTTGTTGTTTGCCAGGCTATAAACTGGTAAAGGGCAAAAGAGTGGAGAAAGAAAGTGCACCAAAGGGAGGTTGGGATATTATCACCAGCTTGGCAATATAATTTGTTCAATTATAAATGTTGAACTGACAGTTGTCAGTACCCTTGCAACACTTCCCTAACTCTCCAGATACTCCAGAATAGGGGATATTAACTCTTCCCTCTTCATGCCGCTTAGTGCTGCAGTTACTGCTTATGTACCCTTGCTGTTTGATTAGTTTTGTAGATAGTATAATGATGGACATGTACTTCATTATGAGGGTGTACCTTTGGTACACCCAAAGGAAGGTGTATGCCTTTAAAGATTGCCTTGGGATGACAGTTCATGGGCTGAATTTGTGAAAGCTTTTTCATGGTGTAGGTTGCAAGGAAGACTTACTGCGCACACTTGTGTGCAGTCTTTTCCTTGGCATATTGTTTTTCAGTGAGCAAGGAGACGAATTCTATCCTGCAGTAATCTACTTCTGAAAAAAGTTTGTCACTTGATTTCACTGAATCATCTTTAAAAACATCATTCTGAGCTACCAAGAAGTCAAGTCTCATTTCCTTTTCTGCTACTATCACGTAAACTGAATTTCCTGTTTTGGTGACATACTGTGGTATATACCCTGCACATTCTGTTTCAAGGCAAGAATAAAGAAATACTTGTCAGTTATCATACTGTTCCTCCTTCTGTCTTCACTTAGTACAAACTTTTGGGGTTTTTGTTATTTATTTATTTTTTACATAAGTTTCTACTAAACAGATTGCCTGAACTGATACACTCATTCTGCTGAAAAAAATAAAAGATTAATGCCAAGGACTTGTAACGAGAAAAACAAAATGCTTTCTGTGTCATTGCGCTCCTTGTAATGTTGCTTGCAAAGTTTATGACTCAATAGGAAAAATTAGAGTGAGCATTATCATGATGTACTCGATGGCTTGAACAAGGAGTCATCTGACAGCTTAAAGACTAACAGATTTATTCCAGCATAAGCTTTTGTGAACTATAGTTCACTTCCATTTATGATGTAATAAATTGGTTGGTTGGTTAATTTTTTGAACTGTAATAGATTGTCTTCTGGAAATTGAATGGCCTGATTTACTGTGAAGAAAGAACATGCCACTGGTTATCGCTTGCCTGTGTAACCCATTTTTTTTCAAGTTGACACCTGGCCTTAATGAAAGTTTTCCTAATGATGAAACCATCTCTATTCATCTGCATTTAACTTACCTGTTGTCCATAGGAAAGGTACTGCAGGAAATTGTATGTCTAGAACTTCATTATTAGCAGGAATTACTGCATTAAAAGTGAACTGTATATTTTTTACTGGAGAAGTAAGTATTGATTTATAGAATTGTTGTTTTCCTTTCGAACATAAGAACATTTGGTTGTGGAATAGCAGAGAGCAATTAGAGCCTCGTGGGTCAATCCAGTGATGAAAGTGTTTTGGCAGCAAAGCATGCTGGCATGCCATGTTGAGAGGAGAAGATAGGAAGATGGTATTGGTCTTTTTCTACTGTAGTAGGCAATCATACATTCCTGAGGTGTCTGTGTTTGTGCATCCTTGCACAATTTATCCCTAAATAAGGTGCTATTAAAAGGCTTATTGTTAATTAACGATCCATTTATGCCTCTATCTGTATTGTATGATAAAAGTTGTATGTAATCAAGTAAACAAAAGCACTGGAGGATATTACAAAATTAGGGAAGACAACGTAGTTTGTTAACGTTGTGAATCTGAATAATTTAGATTAAGTTCTCTTTGATTTCATTTTAGGACCATGTTTATAATAGAAGGGTTAGGAGGATTTCCTAGGAGTTTCATACTAGAGAGAATGATAAACAAGAAGCAGCTAACAGCAGTGGGCACATTTCTGGGATATTCTCTTTCAGTGAAGTGGTTAAGCCTGGAATTGTGCAGTAAAGGTATGAAATTTTCAACACCCATACAATTTTATTGTATGTTATTTTTTGATATGGCAAGCAATGTGTGCCCTTATGTGGGAGACAGCAGTGACAAACAACCATAAGAATCATGCTGGGTCAAACCAAAAGGCCTATCTAGTTCAACATTCCATTCCCACAGTGGCAAGCCAGATAGATGACCGTGGGAAGCAGGACATGAGTGCTACTCATTGATAGTCTTATCCTTCATGAATTTGTCTAATTTTGTTTTGAAGCTGTCCATGTGGGTGGCCATCCCTACATTTTGTGGTAGCAAATTCCATACTTTAACTATGCAGTGTTTGAAGAAACACTTTCTCTGATCTCAGTATCCCACCTTTTAGCTTTGTTGGATGTCTTGGTATAATGAGAAATTCTTCTCCTGGCAACCTTTATCATGTCCTATGCCCCCCTCTCTCATTTGCCTACCCCACTCTAAAATCAGGAACTACAAATTTTGCAATAAATCTTCATTGCCTCAACCCCTTAATTTTTTTTTATTTCCCTTTACTGCATTTTTCCCGCCCTACATTTTATAGTATTCCAAGTTGCTATAGTTTAGACCGTATCAGCACATATCTGGTTAGGACTTTTTGTGCCAGTGTCCGTTACCTTAAACATGCTTACAGTGAAGTGCACTTTAATGGTCATTCTCCAGTTTGAAGTTTTTATTGGAGCATGTCACACTTTCTTACTTTCTTTCTCAGCACTCAGTGCTTATTCCTAGCTTCCAGCTCATTTGTGAACTAATTGAACTGGTCTCAATGCAAATTGAAGGGAACCACTATTTACATTCCCCTTTTGTAAGAACTGTTTTGTCTCAAGTGTTTTCTGTTTTTTAATGGGTTGCCAATCTGTAAGAGGTGCTCCTCTGTTTTAACACAACTGCTAAGTTGCTCAGAGTCTTTGGTGAGCAACTTTGTCAAAAGCTTGGAAGTCCCAAGTAAACAATCACCCAGTCGTTGGGAAATGTAAAATAGGGTGAGGCAAAGGGTTTTTGTTTGTTGGTTCACTAGAAAATCAATGTTAAGTTTTAATCCAGTGCTTCTAAAAATACTAAAGGCTGCAGAAAACGGGTTTCTACAGTAGGCTGTTTGTCAAGTATGGTTCCTTACTGGTATAGCTCATCAAGTGTTAGTAAGCTGGCTCTTCAGTATTTGGTGTTTAGACCTGGTTTGTGTGGCTGAAAGCTTGCATTTAGTAAAATATTGTATAAACCAGGTGTTGTCTTCTGATGATCTTGATTTAACACTTTCATTATGTGTACCTTGGGCATTTTTGAAACTAAGACAGTATGAATTTCTTGTATCCATTTATTTCAGATAACACGTCCACCACAAACAGCCATATTGCCATCTACTAATTTATATAACACTTCCTGCATCTTTTAGTTCTTTTATCTTGTTTGAATCCCAGTCCTGTGCAGAAACATCTAACTACAGAGAAGCATATAAAACATGTTGTTTAATTTGTAACACATTCTCTCTCCTGATTAGAAATCAATGCTTACAAAAGCTACAAGCAAAAATCTTAATTTCCCATACATTCATTTTTAGGATCAAGTAGACTGACCTAAATGAAATGCTTAATCTGGAACCAACTTTGTATCCCTTTAATTTCTTTTGTAGTTACTGTTGCCAGCTATCTACTATTGCCCCATTTAAATTGGGGCTGCAGAACATGGCCAAATGATGTTGGACTACAACTTTGATCATTTCTCATATGTTGTTTTGTCTACGGCTGATGAAAATTGTAGACCACCAAGAGCTGGAGGGCTGCACATCCCCCCCATCTGACCTACATACACAACAGATTTATTAAATTGTCCATTGATTACAGTGTGAATTTGATGCATGTAATCTTCTGCAGCAGAAGAGTGAAAAGAATCTTAGGAACTTCAAACTTTATTTTGGTGATCTGGTTTGAAGCTCTACTATTGCTATTGTGTAGCTGTGTACACCTTTGTACCCTCAAGTTCATATTCAACATAAACTATTTACAGGGCCAGTAACTCTCAAGATAGTAAAGTAATAAGTATTTGCTGTTATTTGCTGTTTCTTTTGCAAGTGAGGCAATGTGTCTTAAAATAAAATGGCTGTAGAATCTAGATGAGGTGCTACAAAAGGAAGGAAGGATCTGAACAACTTGACTGGTGTCCTTGCAACAAGATGGCAGGAACGGGGCAGAAGAAATCTGTGGTGCTCTTTGTGCCCTTGCTTGATCCACCTATTGGTTCCTCCTGCCTAGTTGCAATGGGATTAGAGCAATTCAAATCAGATATAACCAGGAAGAGGAAGCCAGGGTGAAGCATTCCTTTCCATCCAAAAGTTCCCTTACCATCATCTTTTTATTTAGATAACTTTGAAGATGTGATGTTTGAAGATCCCTCTAAGATTGCCTCATACTGATCCACATAAAACTGCTCTGGACAACCAGATACTGTAGGTGTCTAGTAGCAGCTTGGCAGCTCTTTCAGGTTAACAATGAACAAAGAGGATAGTGGCAAGTGATTGTACACAGGGATTAGTAACAGAGACAGCACTTCAGGAGAAACATCATAGATATATGAATTGCAATAAAAGATGATTACACCAACTTGTCACTACCATGAATGTTTATTTTTAATGAGCACACATAATTAAAAACAAATGTTCTACCAGTGTGTACACTGTACACATTTGAATGACACTTACAAGAATGAAGTTCTATACAATATACATTTTAAGATCACAGGTGTACTGATGAGAGGAAGGAGAAAGGCAAATCAATTCCATAACTGTTTGTTTGTGGGACTAAAGTTGCAAAATTACAGGTTGCATTTATGCTATTGGCAATAAAGCATTTGAATTAGGAATCCAACTATTTCAATATAAAGTGGATGAAAAGCAAGAAATGGAAGGAAGACTACAGTCAAAAAGAAGTTAATGAATGAAATTTGGTATTGTCCTGGCAAAACTTCTCACTCTTCAGTTGCCATCTTTATCAAATACTCCTTGTCTATTTTGAAGAGTCTCCATCCTTCTTCAGATGACAGGTCAGAAGCACCACGTCTCTTGTAGAACCTGATAGACGGTTCATTCCATTCTGCCACTAGGAAGTGCATACTGCTGCAACGACATCTGACTGCCGTCTAGGAAGAGTACACAAGACATGAAAAATGAGGTGGCATTTGTGCCTTCTGACATGATACTGGTTATTTTATAAAGGACCTAGGTAGGCAATTCCCACATTTAGTAGCAGTGATGATGCTTCAGTGAATCCCTACTTGAACTATTATCTGTGCTCCCCAGCTGTATTCCTCTAGGAATCTTTCAAGAATTACAGTTCCCAACACAATTTCAAAAATATTTCTAGTGTGGTTCTTCATCTATGTAATCCCAAATACGAAGTTTGTATATAGAAAATCATCGGTATACAAATGAGGAAACACAAGTGAAGAACACAAACTGACAAGCTTCACTAATACAAGGTCATAATATATGAAGTTACAAACTCTAAACTGGTGTGCTATAGCAATAAAACATTTGGTTGGTTGCATGTTTGAATAAGTCATGGTGGGCCCTAGCACATGTGAGCAGCCATTCTGAATGTTCTAACCTTACCAGCAGCTGCTGCTTGTCCAAAACTGGAGACTCTGGTTGGTGGGTTAGGCAAAGGTTGTTTCACCCTCTCCTAACCTCCACATGGATAATATGACAAGCTGCAGTTTGATCATTCAAAAAATGCCTGGCACACCCATGGGGCACCATGTTTTTAATAACGAGGGTGGGCAGCAGTGATTGCATGAACTGGGTCATAGTACTTAATTCTGTTGGAAAATATTCTTTCCAACAGTGTTCAGACAGATGCAGCTTTTAATTATTTATAATTAAGCTATTTGCTGGAGCAACTGTAATATCCCCTCAGAAGTAACATACAAAACGGGTTCTATCAGATCACCACTTGCCCACGGGCTTTGGAGAATCTGGACTGTGAACAATTTGAGGTGTAACTCTTGTGACTTCAGTTAATTGGCCATTTAGAAAACAGAACCCTGCTGTTGGATAGAAAAATAGCTTTCTCTTCTTACCTTACTCAGATGCTTTAGAATTTCTGATCCAATGCCCAAGCCTAAAAGGAAAAGAATTGCAATTTCATTAGTTATGCTTGGGGAGAGCAATTCTACGGTCCCTACAATCCTATGACTTGTGTAACCAAAAGGTATAGGAATACCTTAAATAAGTACACATCATCTGGGGGCCACATGATAATTCAGATTCTCAGACCCAAAGCTGCAAACAGAGTGTTGACCTTGGAGTTGGAATCAGTGCTCCAATCCTGTTACGCCTCTGCTGCACACAATGTGGAAAGAACTGTACTGGCTACCTCCCTCAGGTTGGAAAATCAACCTTGGAAAAGAAGCAGGGAGGCAGCTCGGGCTGCCAGGATATGAAGTATTCTAGTATTGCTGAACCTTTCTTCCCTCCCCCACCAAGGTGCCTCAGCTAGATGGCCAAAACAATTATCTAGTAGAAACAAAGCAGCAAAGATCACCACTGTTCTTCCTGCTCTCCACTGGATGCTCATAAACCCCCAAAGTCTGTGAGTTTACAGGCTTTGAGGGTACAATCAATAAAAACTTCCCCTAGAATGCTTGCATCTGACTTGGTTCTAGGTGTTCTTTAAGTGGTACCTCTGAATTCATTCATCACAAAGAAATCTTCAAGATATAGCAGTTTTCCAATCCATGGGTCATAAGTAAAGTAATACATGGCAAAGCCCACGATTCCATGTCCTGCAACAATAAGTTATATTTAGGGAACTCATGCAGAGAGAATATCTCTTAAACAAGTTAGTATAGCAAGTCTTACATGCATATGTAAAAATACAAGCTCTAAACATGCAAAAATTAATCTGTTACATTGAAACAGGAAAAGTTGAATTATAATATATATCATAATGAATAATAGTCCAAGTAAAGAAGAAATTCTGATCATGTAAAAACTGGCTTGGAATGCTTACAGCCAGCTAACAGTTACTGGGCACAGTTAACTTGAATATGTTGAACTTAAAGCATGTCTTGTCTACTGTCAGTATGCAACAATTAGAATGTTCTGCTAGAGGCACTCTGTGCATATCCTATTGATACCACAATTCAGACTTCTACAGTTTTACACGGCAGATCAGAATAGTGTGGCAGTTCTCTCAACTCTGCTTATTTTAAATATTGGAACACTTAACTCTCAAAGTAAAAGCCACCGAATTTTGCCTTCCACGTTCGTGTCCATTTGCTGGCAATGTAATCACTCTATAAAAAGCACTTGAACATTGTCTCATTTATCATAGTCAAAACAGCAGCCATATTATTTGATCTGGACACTATTAGTTGCATTCAAGTGCCTTTTTTCTTTCTAATACTTTTCTACATTTACAGTTTGGTAATCCTTTTTGGGCAATATCCCAGCCAATGTCAAAATAATAGAACGCCAATCTGATTTTATGTTCATGCAATGCTTTAGATGAATTCCAAAAAACAAGAGTTAACATACAGGATTTCTGATCTACCGAGTGTTTTGCATATGTTTTTTCCTTTCTTTCTGAGGTAAATGTTTGGGAATAGCATTTGTCCCTGGAGACCTTACCTCATATATCATGATCATCTACTTTATTGTGTAACGGATCTTTTAGTTACCTCCCCGCCCATCCATGTACACGGAAGGGCCATGTACATGGCGAAGCTAGAGACTGTAACCTGAAGATTGGGGACAAATTAAAAAAAAATGTGATTCAATAGGATTACATCGTGATAAGTTAGGGTCAAACAAGAATAACCATGTAATAAAGTGGAATTACAGTATTATTATAACCATTTATTATTGTACCTGCTTCTGCTGATCTTCAGGATGCCTAAACAATTCAGAAAAAAAGAAACCTGGCTGGATCCAGAATTTGCTCCCACCAGCAGGAGCACCGCCTAAGCAATGTACAGCCAGCAGGAATGGTGGGGGAGGTGATTTTTTGCAGATTTCGCCTCCCCCCTGCAGCCCCCAGTGCCACCTTCCACACTGTTTTGGAGGGACCCCCAACCCTCCAGATCAGCTTTAGGATGGCATAGGAGGCTGCAGGTGTAGGGGGGAAAGCCTCCTCCTTCAATCCACCAGTGAAAATGTTCTGCTGCATCAAAACTCTTCTACAAAGTTTTGCCATTTGTGAAAGGCAAGGTCTGGATCCATGGTGCTATTTTCATACTTCCATAGGCTTAAACATTTGTCCATGCCATGAGGTATAGCTAGAGCCTTACATAAAACACATCTTTATTATGTAGTGTTGTTTATAACCCTTTTTCCTAAAACAACTAAATATAAGCAATTGAAGTTTCACCTTCAGCTGTCCAGTGTTCTTTTGGCACTTCTGCAACAAGACACTGATAGAAAGGGTGTTCTCCAAAGCCATCCTCAAGCAGATCTACAGGATGACAGTGAATGGATTATCAGGACACATTTTCCCATCCCCTGCTTAAATTGTCAAAAAGTGTTTACAGACTAGCAAATACTATTACCTTTTTCAGTCAGTACTACTTGATCCTCCATTTCTTCATATTTAGCAAGCTCCTGCCCAAAACAAAGCACGTTATGTTTGACAGCTTTTATTGGACCATTGTCCATTGGTACATTTTATTTCTTGTTCATAAAACCTACATGAAAAGCAAAGCAGTTTTTATCTAAAAGCTATGCTTCTCCTCACCCCCATGAAGAAAACCTTTTCTGCTGCTTCTGAGAAATGTGAAATTTCTGAAAGGCTCTAAGTATACACAATGATGGGAACTAACTACAGTTTTACCTGAAGACTGAGGAATCTGTGGCTTACCAGATGTTCTTGGACTTCAGTTTAAGCCAACCAAGCCAATGGCCAGGAATAATGGGGAGTGTAATTAAACATTTAGAATGGCACAGGATCCCTGCACTAAGCCCCACTGAAAACGCTAGGCCTTACTTCCAAGCAGAGTCGTGAAATTGAGTTGTATAGGACAATTTGACATGCTTCAAGTATTTAAGTTGTCCAAAATAGAAGTGTAATTATTCCTAACAGTCAATTAAACAAATAGGTTCAGGCTGTATATAGGAAAAGCTTCCTAAATGAAAGAGCGCTTTCATCTATTTTGGGTTGGATACAGGCTTAGTAATACTTGAGTCCTATTTCAGTGGACTTGCTGGAAATATAACTTAGTCTGGATTCATCCTCTTGAAGATGAGACATTCACTCTTACAACCTAGGTTAGACCAGATGAATCACATTCCACTCCCAATTCTTTTTTACACCACTTCATGTCAAAGGTGGAGTCTGTACAGCCTGTTGCACAACAGCAGGAAGGAACATGTTTTGCCAACACAGAAGGGCAAAGGTGTTTGTGTTCAGAAGAGAGGTTGTCTGTGTGTGCAAGAAACAATCCCCACCCCAAGCAGTTCTAACATTTGTCCCTTACAATGTATGTTTTTCCCTACAAGGAAATTGGAGCAGATGGGAGATCTAAAACCAACCAACCACAGCTCTCTTACACTTCTAGAATAACTGACTTGCAGTGGAATCCTAGACAAATTTACGCTTTCGTTCCAAGAGGCTATTGTTAAGCAACTCCGCAAAGGTTTGCAATCTAGTTTGTGTGTTGACACAGCCTAGGACTGCGCGCTCTAGCTACGCTCCACTAAACAAACCGCTCAAAAGCAGATGTGATCTTAGTAGGGCAGACCAAATCTTGTTCAGTCCCTTGTTTTTAGCCCAACTCTGCCAAATATTTTCTGTCGTTTCCTTTAAGTCAGGCGGCGTTGATAAACTACACCAGTTTGGCGTGTGTCACTCCGTCAGTCCTGGTTGTACAGATAAGCTTGAAATCCCCCGCACCCTCTCAGGTTTTACCACCCTCCCTTTTTCAGGACAGCTCTGCTCACGTACTTAACTTTCTCATAGGCTTCAAATGAAAGGAGGCAAATTGGAGAAAGCAAACTAGAGAAGTGTCTTGATTTTAACTTTATTAGAGCAAGGTTCTTTCTTTCCAGCTCAGGGGGCTTTATGCGGTGGCCGGGCAAGGTCGCCCGTCTGGCCCAGAGCAAGATACCTTTATGAGGCGCAGCAGGTCGGCGCAGTCTTCGGGCCGCGCAGCTCGGATATGGAATGAGGCCATTTTCGGCGGCGTTTCCCCTTGCGTCCCCCGCCTCGCGTGAGTCCCCGATAGTTGAAGAGCAGGAGAAGGAGTTTCTTCATTCGCGTCCCGGGCGCGGCGTCGGCTCAGGCAGAGTCAAGCTGCCAGCATCCCCCAGTTGCAAGGGAAGAAACGAAGCAAACAAAAGCAAGCACCTGCGACGACTTCTGCCCCCCCGCGCGCCCGCAGACACCCGCATTTGTAGGCGAGCGCGACCGTGACGTCCCATCATTCCAGCCAATCACAGGGCGATGCCCCATCACCCTCTCCCCCCCCGCCGCTCCTCTTACCTCATCCTTCTAGGAAATGAGGCGCCGTGGAAAAAGGATGACTCATTGAGCTGTAACGCCCCACTCCTCTGGGCGGAAACCGCCACCCGATGGAGCAGCGGGGGAACGGCTCGCTTCACTTGCGAGATCTACTTTTTTGTTTTCGCATGCTGTCCAGAACGCAGACTAACCAGGTGGAAAAGAATGGCTGAGGCAGGCGGGTGCATGTCAACAAGTAAGGAACAGGGCGCCTCTGAACACAGGCTGACCCAAAAATTTGTGATCAGCGCCAGAACCAAGTTCACGAGCGCTTTCACACAGAAATCTATCGCTGGTTTTCCACCTCCACAAGTGTTCTTCTTCCGCAACCTGATTTAGGGAAAGGGAAGAGGAGAGCTTTTTTAGCTTTGTTAGAAACAGAGCCTTGCAGAGTTACTGGAAATCGTCCGGGGATCAACCAATAGATTCTGATCGTCCTTTCACCCACTCCTGTCCTAAATAATCCATACCTTACTGACTCTACGCAGTTACCTGTAAAGGCAACATCCCTTCTTAGCCATGTAAAAAGATGCTACCAGCTGGGAACTAAGCCACAGGAAACCTTCCATCATCTTTTAATTTACTTCACAGAAACAGATTTGGAAGGGGGGCTGGAAATCATCCAATCCAGCTTTTGATTAATGCAGGAATTGTAGTGCCAGACATTTCAAAGGACCATTGTTGGAACCCAGTATGATGGAGGAAATATGCTGAGGAAAGGGGGATTTAAAATTCACTCCCCAACCCCTACATGAACTATTTCTCCAGTAAAAATGGCTCTGTAGAGGTTGCTATTAGCCCTTGATAGAGAGGAAAGTTTCTTAATTCACTTCCCAATAAATCTACAAACAGCATAGCATTTAGTTTTTAAATGGATACTAAGGTTGCCATTAATATCTAGAACTGTTTAAAAATCTATAAACAACTACATCAAATGGAAATTGTGACCAGTGACTCATTCACCATCTGGTTCGTGTTAGGCTTCTCTCTCATATTAGTGGCGATTAGTCTTTTCGATTAAAATGTCTGATGAGTCTGAATAAATTGTTGTTGTTCTCAGAGATACAACACATTTATTAAAGTTTGGACCACCTTTTTCCTAACCCTGAAAAGAATCCAGGCACAGATGCATTCCAATTCAAATACACTGGGATTGGGCAACTTCTGGCTGTTTTAGATGTTTCAACCTATAATTTTCTTTTCATAGCTAGGCTAGAGCCATGGATGACTTCACATGTCGCCCAGCCCATGTCTTCAAAACTAGAATCCTTGTAAAACATGTTAGCAGCAGTAACCATTTCTTTTCTGGTAATTAACCCCAAATATATAGGGCAGGGGAGGAATCTGGTTCTATTTATTTAAATTCATATCTTTCACATGGATTCACTCCCTCACTTGGCTTGAACCTTAGGGAAAGGGATTTTCTTGGCAGGCTGGAGCTGCCCAAGACATTTCGCCATGTACATGGAAGCAGCTGGTGCTGCTTAAGTTATAGTAGCCATATTATATGGCAAACCCCTTCCTGGAAGTAAAAATACAATAATATCTTAACTAACATTTTATTGTCCCTTCATGTTAATGCAAATCACCTTTTTGAAGTGACCACGTTACCCAACCTAATGGCAGGGTGAGCCCTGGGACATTGGTCTAATTTTAGGATCAATGCTGAGAATTCCCAGAATTAAGCTGGACTTCAGATTAAGTTATGCAGAACAATTAAATTGGGCATAACATAATCCAGAACCGTCAGAGGAGCTGGCTCTGGTCTGAGTCAGAAGATCCTTCCAATTATATTAAAATAATGGAGATAAAGGAGGAAACATGAACTGATCCTAAGTCAGCCAAACATGCTGTGCAGGTGTCTAATGGTCCAGCAGTAACTCAAAATGTACAGAGTAGATTTCTTGCTTTAAGGTACAGTCATTCAACTTGAAAGTGTTGCCATAGAACTTTTACTGATTATGGGCTGGTTTGCACAATAATCATGGATTAAATATTTGTTTAACTTGCAGCATGTGCTGGACGCAGGCACAGTTTGTTGTGTTACCCAAACCTGAGTGGCATGACTTGAAAGGGAAATAAATCTCAAAGAACCATAGGCTGTTGTGGGTTAACAGAGACAGCCTAGCCTAGCCTAGAAGCCTTTTCCCCCTGATATGTAGGAAGACCTGGTGTTTTGAGGGGATCCTGGGCAAGGTGCCCTCTGACCCCCAGGCCACTTGCATGGCAGTCTTTCTCCCTTTCTCCTGCACCCTCCATAGTAGTCCAGCCCCCACAACCTGCAAGCAGCGATGGAGAAGCTGCTGCAAAACTACCTGGCCAGGTGCTTCTTTCAATAATAAGAGTTCCTCCAAAGCAACATGTCATCGTGCTAAATGGAGAAGCCCCAGGCTAGTTTGCTGTGCAGCAGCAACAGCAGCAGCTGCCCTCTGCCCCCCTCCCCGTCCCAACCCAAATGCCTGTGGCCTTTAACTAGAGAGCAGCAGACATACATGCAAGAGCACATTTGACAATATTTTTTAGGTGGAATATACATTTTCTATGCCTAAGTGAATTATTTTCCTGAAGAATTGCCCAAATTCAGTGGCATTAAACCAAATGCACAGCTCCATAGGATTTCTTTAAATGCCTGTCTGCTGCAACCACAATCTGTTCCTTACACTGAGGACAAGATACTACTTTTACCCTATAGGAATAGAACATAATGAATTTTTTTCAAATATTCCATGTTGCTTTAATTGTTTCCATTAAACTTTCTGATTCTTTAAGTTTAATGTAATAGTAAAGGCCATGATAAATTCATCAAATTTATACACAAAGCTCCAGGATTTCTAATATTGCAAGATATGAATGAATTAAGTTTTAGACAAAAATCTAGCTTTACCTTAACACTCAGAATCTCTGGAGATGTTTAGAGCAATTTTATCTAATTATTTCTTTCTAATCTTCTCTGCTGCCAAGGCAAACAGGGATATTTTAGAATATATGTATTTGTTTATTTATCCAAGTTATACTCCACTATACTAGTCCAGGGACTCTCCAAGAGAATAAAGCTCTCATATAATTTATGGAATTAAAAAAGTTGCATACAAACATGTTCCAGTAAAGTTGTGTACGATCTAAGTAGAGTTGGACTTTTAAAGGAAGTACAAACTTACTTATTTAAACAGATTTTGACTATGTTGAGGGACAACATCTCTCAGGCAAAATTCAAAACTGACTTTACATGTTTGTTCTGGTTTTTACATTCCTAAGCTTCAAAGCTATACTCCCTTTGCAAGCTTTCACTTAACTGGATTGGAACAGGTTCTACACAGGGTGTAGATTTCAGGTCATTTAAAAGCAATATCATCTCCTTGAAATATTTAGGAAATGTAAAAATTAGCGTGGATCTACACTGTTCTACCATACATAGAAGGCAACAGGAATTTCTGCCAACTGCCTCTTTGGTTGCATTCCCAAATCATATTCCATACAATTCCTTAGCACCTCTCAATCCCTGGCACAGATTTTCAGGGATGTAAGACAGATCTATTTCCTGCGCTCTGTTTTATCCTTTTCTTAGAAGGGAAGTTGGGACTCAAGTCATTGATAAGGAAGTAGGAGGTCATTGTTATGGAGGAAGTTAATCATAATTTGTAAGTAGTGAATTAAAAGAATGGTTCACAAGAAACAAGAGGATTGTAATTTCATACAGAGTGAAACACTGAATCTAGTTGATTACTAATCAGATTTTGATGTCATCAACTGTGATATTCTCCTGGACTGAATACATGGGCTGGGCTTAGGAAGCATTGTGTTTCAACCATTCCATTCTTACCTAAAGGTCAATTTCAGAAAGTAGCATTGAGTGACTATCCTTCAGCTCCTTGGCAATAAAGCTATAGGGGTTTGCAGGGTATCCTCTTGTCCCCAGTGTTGTTCAACATCTATAGGAAGCCACTGGGAACAGCCTTTAGAGGATTGGCAGCCATTTCTCATCAGCATGCTGATGACACACAAATCTGTCTCTGTACTATCTGCATCAGGTGAAGCAGTGCAAGTTCTGGATGAGTGCCTAGACTCACTGATGAGCAGCTACCTGAGGGTTAATAAACTGAAGCTGAATCCTGGCAAAACTGAAACTGTGTGGCTGAGTGGTTCCAGTGTCCCCAGACAGAATTATTGACTCTTCGGGATGGGGTTCTACTCCCTTTGAAAGAACAGGTTCATAGTCTGTGGTACTCTTACATCCTACATTGTTGCTGGAGTATCCATGACATCTTGGAGTGCCTTTTTATCAGGCTTGAATGGTTCATCAGTTACAGCATCTTCTGGACAGGAATAGCCTGGCCTTAGTGGCACAGGCATAGGAATATGGGAGCTACTAACCTCAAGACTGCAATGCTCTGTAAATGGGGCTGCTGTTGAGGCCGGTCTAGAAGCTGGAACTAATACAGAATGCAGCAGTTTGGGTGTTGTCAGAGGTTGCTCCTTTTCAGCATGCAACTTCTTTGCTGTGGGAACTGCACTGGCTGCCTATTATCGGGGCAGTTTTAAAGCTTTGATACTGGTGTATAAAGCCAAAACCATTTGGATCAGTGAGTGTCTTTTTCCTGATCAACTTGTCCTAAGTCACTGAGGACATGAAATGGCATGCTCCTGGTGGCCCCACATGGACCCATGCCCCAAGGAATCCACCCTCAGAAGAGACCAGGTGTGATGGCTCCATTTCTGTTGTACTCCCTGCCTCCAGATGTCAGCAGACACCAAAATTGTGCTGTTTTTGGTGTATCCTCAAAATATTTTAATTCTAAGAAAACTTTGACTGCATTTTACATTGGCATCGTTTTAATACAGTGTTTTATTATTTTTATTGTTTATCTTTACTCCAGAATCTGCTTAGATGTGAAGAGGTATATAATTGTTCTAAATAAAATAAATGAATCCCTTACGACTTACTTTGGAGTAGTTAAGAATATCCATCTACATCTCTCCAAAGGTATGCATTTAGAATGCACTGTAGAAGAGAGTCACTATTACACACAGCACTTTCCTCAAATATGGCACTTTCTCAGTAAGCGTATGGTCTGTAATTATGCAAAGGTAACGATTATGTTAAACACACCCTGTATTTTAAAGCTTTGTGGAAAGTTCTGCAAGAATCCAGACTTCACCCTTTACCTTCAACCTGTGGGACAAATCCACACTTGCTATTAGAAGTGGTTAAAGGTGCGGCAATCCTGTGCATATTTAGACAGAAAATAAAAGCTGCATACTTGTAGAGACGTTTTCCTATCTAAACATGCAGAGGACATTACCCTAACGGTTTATATTAGAAGAGACTGATGACCGTGACTGAAGTCCTAAACACACTTTATCTGAGAGTAAGCCCCTCTGCAGACATGCATAACATTTGCGCTGTGAACAACCTACGCTGCCGAGAGGGAGAGTATTTCCTCTTTCCCCGATCTGCAGGAATTCGCATGAGCACAAGAGAGCCAAGGCTGCTAGTGTGCAGGGATAAAGACAACACGAGCGGCTCCTTTGTGTTGAATGGAGGAACCCGGGCCCCAGGCGCGGAAATAAGCCCTGGGAGCGACTACTCTTTGAAAGGGGGGTGGGTCACGTCCATGTACGCGAGCATGGGCCTATTCAGCAAGCCCTCCTGAAGAGTTTTGACAGCCTGGGCCTTCCAGCTGGCAAAGTCGGGTTCCTGTTACAGGCGTGGCTCCTGGCAAGCCGCCGCCCGAAACAGTGAGATCACAACGGCAGAGGAAGAAAGCGTTAGGCGGCTGCAAAAACAGTTTCCTAGGCGCCGGCGTTTTACAGCCTTGCAAGCAGCAGAATGTTGTCCCGCAGGTAAGAGCATTCGCGGTCGGCTTTACCGCCGCTCGCCCAGTTTGCGTTTGCAAAAAGCCGGCTGAGCGCAGGGGGGAGAATGGCATGCAGGAAGAGAGGCGCCGACTTCCTGGGTCACGTGCCAATGCAGAGCCGTTAAGCTGGGTTACTCAAGCGGAGACTAACGTGGATCATTGGTGGTGCAAAGCAACCGGAGCTGATTGTTTTCCGAGAGCAAGGCCGCCCCGCCTCTTTCCCCCTCGGTTGGGCCGCGAGCTTTCTGGCCTGCGTGCTGTGGGAAAGCCCTGCCAGAATGAGACGCTCTGGTGGCAGCCAGGGAGCCATGTCTAGTGTGGCCTCCCCTTTCCTGGTGCATGAGGTGGGACATCCTCCCCGAAATCCCTCAAGGGTGGGCTTATTACAAGCAGAAGTAACAAACATGCCCTCTGACATTCTGTGGTGCAAATCTCAAATATGTTTACTTAGACTTGAGGTCCCCTGGTTGCAGTGGACTGACTTACTCCTGTGTCACTGTGAATAAAATAGTGGGTACAAAAATCAAGTTCTGGAGGAGAACTTGGTTTAGGATGATGCTGATTGGTGCCATCACATGATCTTGCAATTCCACCACTATTCCCAGTAAGTTGTTCCTGTATATGTTAATACAAGTAATTATACTATATCACGCCAAGTTGAGGTGCAGTCCTAAGTGTACTTTGTTGGAACGGATTTAGGAATAAACATGTTTAGGAGCTGGCAGTGGAAACAGTTGATTGACTGTAAAGAAGATTTTCTATATTTATACGTATCACTGCATACAGGCATCCTGACTTCAGTCCCATAGTCACATCACTGTTCATTTCAGAACTTTTCCATATGGTTAGCTGACTGGGGAATGCTAGAAGTTGTAGGACTTCTTTTGCCCTGTCTAAACATGTGTAGGGTTGTACTTTAAGGCAGTTTATTCTTAATAGAGTGTCAGGAGATGGGCAGAGCAATCCTATATTCCAAGGGTATCCTGTCCTCCTGAAGTTTTAGATTTGAATTCTCATAAATCCCAGACAGCCCGGCCAATGGTCAGGGGTTATGGGAATTATAAATCAAAGCATCTAGAAGGCCTTAGGTTGCCTACCTCTGCTATTCTCTAATTATGCTGGGACTGAGTGGAATGGCCACTCTCTCTTATACATATTCATCCTGGCAGTGGACAAGAAGAATAAACAGCCAAACTGGCAGGTATGTCCCAAGTGTCTGTTTTGCACCAAATATATGAATTAGAGATGTACTTAGTTAGCCATTGCCTTTAGGACGTAAAACACGTACACATTCTAGAACAATCTTATTAGTCTTGGAAGGCGCATACCGAAGCCATATTAGGAAAGCACTGTGTTAGACAATGATTGGATAGAACAGGTAGATGGGGCAGAATGTGTAACTTGCTGATTGGGTATTTAGATTGCATGTCCCTAAGGGACAGGAAAGTATAACTGATCATTCAGTGTAGAGCTTCTTTGTGGCCTGAGCCAAGGCTTCCACCCATGCTGCAGCTTGCTTTTAGTAAAGTCTCTTGGACCATAGAGCCGTTGGTGTCTGGTTTTTGTGTCTCCCCTGAGATGATCGGGATTGGGGATCGAATCCTCTCGGACACAAACAAGTGAGCGAATATTTTTGCAACATCTGCAGGAACTCTGCCAGTGCCCATTGGTTGGACTGCCAGAGATGCTGCTCACATACAGAATAACCTCCAGCGCAGATGCAGCAGCATCACTAGTACATACACAGTGACATGCCAGTGGTACAGCCATCCAAAGGGCACTCCTAAAAACAGGTCTGAGCCCCTTTGTGCTAGTTGAAAACACCATTTTGCAAGCCCAATGCAAAGCAGAGGAAGAAGAGACCTGTGGCATAGCAGGAATCACAGATCAAGTGATCCATATCTCCCAAGGGTGGGTTTAACTCTCATTATGTGACAAGGAAGATAAACAAGTAAAACCCAAGGCTCTTTTGACATTCTTCAACACAGTTGTATATAACAATGTACAATGTAAAGATGGTGGTTGTTCTTATTGATATCTCATGCTGTTAAAGCAATTGTATGCCCTTCAAAAGTATCTAGGAGGCCATAGTGTCCTTTGGATTCCCAGATCTGAGGCTGGAGAAATGCTCTGACCTTAGAGCTGGGGATTCATGCTTGGATCATTGCCTCCTCCACAGCTGGTGTGGAAATACCTGTGTCAGCTACTTCTCTGAGGTAAGTGCAATCATGGAGAGGAGGTAAAGAGGGCATTTAAGGTGACAAAGAGTGGAGGAGACTGGAGCTGCCAGATTACAGCATAATCTGGCAGCCTTCTAGCCTCCTCCCCTTGCTCTCTGAAGTATTGCAGCTAGATGCCTGGAACTGGTCCCCCGGGTGACTTGCAGGTGTGACGAGCAAAGAGGCAAAGATTGCCTCCATCCACTGCCCACCCTGCATATAATCCTCTGAATTTAGAGGCTTTTGGGCTTCCCCATTGGATTGCACTCTTTATGTATTGTCAGATTTGAAAAATGAACAAAATATATATTTTTGAAAATCCATAGCAGCCACATAGCTCCCTGAACAGAATGACTGCAGAGCAAATACAGTCCTTCTAGGGAAAGAGTTCAGTATCTGTCCAGAGTGGGAAAGATTCTGCAAGACACTGCTTCCTGGAATTGGGGTGGAAGAGGGTTAGAGTGATGTCGGCTCAGACAAGATAGTAGTTGCATACAGAAAAGTGGGTGAGAGGAAGACATGGGAAGAAGTCATAATTACATTTTATGTCACAGTTGTTCCTTTCTCTTGTTGCTGTGCTGTGAGGGTGCTTGGCTACACCACAATCAAAATTTTGCCATGGTAATGTTGGCAGGACAGTAACTGAAGTAAACGTAGTCCTTCTTCCCATTGAAATCAGCAGGATGGAGATTCAGACTTTTCATTGTTGACGGGAGCTGACTGTGGATCTGGCTCCAGCAGGCCAAAACATCTGGAGGGCTACAAAATGCCCACCTTGTGGCACAGGAGATAGTGCAGGATATATGTGCTTCTTCCCTATGCTGCCTGTGTCCCACTCACAGCGACAGCCCTTTAAAATGATTCACCAGTGTGTCCCTCATGCTGGTGCTGTATTTTGCATTCTGCTGGCATCACAGGGCTTCCTCCACTTTATGGCCCCTCAGCTGCCAGATTTCCGGTTCTGGGCTATGTTGTTGACAGTGTTCAATTCTCTGTTCATTGCAGATGGTTTTCGTTGAGCAAGGCCTGTCCTGCCATGACTAGAATGCTGACTTCATCTACCAGAGGCTCCCAGGCTACTCTTGATATGGAAGAAGGTGATTTATTGAGATGTAGATGGTATGATCTTAGGACTAGAAAGTGCCATCTGTAAAGGAGTAACACAGGAGTCAAAGCAGCCTATGTTCTTCAAATATGGTTGACTGCAACTCCCATCATTCCCACCCAGCATCTAAAGGGCATCAGTTGGGGAAGACTGCTACATTAGCTTAGTGGGAGGTGCGTAGCTCTACACAGAGCAGACTTATTGAAATGAATGGGACCAACAACTTAGGCCTGTACACTTGTGAACTAGAAGCAAATGTCCTTTCTATGTAATCTTGTACTGGTCTTGTACTTGCTGGGCATACAAAGGTGTTCCTTCCAACAGAGATAAAGATAAATATGGAGATATGCAGAGTTGAGGGTGAAAGTAAAGAAAGTCAGCACAGCTGTTCTGTATCCTGCAGTGCTCTGTAGCTTGGAAAGCTAGTAGAAATGTATATTAATTATGCTATGCAAAAAACAATCAGTACAGCAGAATGTGTTAATGAAAACTTTGTATACTCCTCTGTGTTTTGTGATTAAGTGCAAGATAACCAGAAAACAATGGAAACAGGTTTTTCTTTTACAGTTATGCTGATAATCTAAATGTTTTTTCTACTTCACAGGGCATTCACCCATTCATGTGAATAATGGTCTGTTGTGGTAACCTGTATGCATTTTAATATGGCTATCTATCTAGTGCTGTCTTGCTTCCATCTATCTTTGTCAGAAGGTTAATGAAAAATTCACTTTAATATTTTTCTGGCAGTTATTCCAAGTCATTGTTCTTGATGCCACAGAATGGGTTCACATTGCTATGCTAATCAAGCATGTCTTATTAATCAAAATAGTAGCTATGTATGCTTGCGGCTTGCTATTTTTTCAGCTTTACAAGAAGGTGGAAGACTAGTGCACAGAGAGTTATGTATAAGAATGCATTTTAAAGTCATCAGCCAAAGTATTGGCTATTTAAACTGCAGTTCTGTGTGCGCATAGTTGCCAGCTCACCAAAGCTCCCTTGCACTCCCTTCCTTCCTGTTAATAGTTCTCAGTCCCACCTTTCTAGAGCAACATAAGCAAAAGACCAGACCATCTGTTAGGTATGACAGGTCGCAATACTTTGAAATAGCTATTGGTTCAACCATGCACCATCTTACCACTCCCTCTTATTTCCAGGCCCTATATGAGGACTTACCCAAGCCCTTTTTGCAGACTTTGCTTATTTAGCGTCTATTAACTGTTTCTTATCTCTGTATCATGCTTTTCTACCACCTGTTTCACCCACTCTGAGGCAGGCAGGCGATCTGGTACCTTCCATGTGTTTTTGGACTGTAGCTCCCATACTCCCTGGCCATTGGCCATACTGACTGGGTCTGATTGGAGTTGTAGTAAAAAAATGTCTGCAGTTGGCCAGGTTGAGGAAGCTTAAATAAGACCTTCCACAAACTGTTTCAAGTGAACCTTTGATGTTTTCTTTTCTCTTTGTTTCTCGCAATACTGTGGACCACTGTATAGAAAATCAAGCCCGTTACCGCTCTAGTCCAATGATTTGCAGAGCTGTATAGGCTTGCGTAACTGATAGATGGATCAAGGATATTGCTGGTTCTGTAAACTAAACAAGACTGGTCATTTTAGAAATGGCACACTTGGGTACATCAGGTTGAACTTGTGGTCCAGGTAAGACCAAGCCTCAGCAGTGGCTAGGAGTTGCTTAGCTTGCAAACAGCATGCTGTACATTGGCCAAGTTATCTGCAAGGACTGCTATAGTGGGCTACTAGCTGATAGCAGCCTTAAAACTAATGTCCACAAATTGGATGATATACTTTTTCTTGATGGTAACAATAGCGGCATTGACATCTTTGGGGGAAAATTCACTGTGGCTGTCCACTAGAGCAGCAGAGAAGGGATGAAGGAAGGCCTGGGAGGACATGGCTGCCCTAGGGAAGGATTATGAAGCTGTGGCTGTGGATTTTGTTGAAGCAGAGGATGAAAAGGAAGGGAAGTATTAAACTTTCTCCTATGCATGTATGGGCCGCATGGCTCATATGTATAGTTTTTTCCACTGGACACATGTAGGGCACTATCCCACTGATGAACAGAAGCTCCTAACTTGGAGGCCTGCAGTCATCCAATGCAGGGCAGGAAGACCAGGACAATCATTGCTGTTCTTCCTGTTCTCCAAACCTGCATTTTTCACTAGATGGGCTTTGTTGTAGACCTAGTGAAGACATTTCAGAAAGGGAGGCTGGGAGGCTGGCAGAGGATTAGGATAGATTTTATTCTGGCCTCCCTAGGCTCCTCTCCTCCACCCAGCAGAAAGCCACCTTTCCCTCCTGGCTGAGGGTGAGTTCCTCACACTGGAGGCCAGTCGGTTTGGTTCTTTTCATGATGGCTGCAAGGGGAGTTGTACCTCTGACCTGTTCTTCTAAGGTTGGAACATGGTCTGTGATGACAAGGTGGGATTCTGAAGAATCTGGCAGCTCCTTTGACCAGGGTTCCCTAGCATGGCACCTCTAGAGGCCATAGTGTCTGCAGGCACTTTTGCTGGTACTTTCAGAGGAGTCCCCAATAGGCATTGAAGTACTGACACATTTTGTAACATAAAAAAGGTTTAATTTTTAATATAAACTTTTCCTTTTAAAAAGAAGTGTGCATTAATTTGTATGACATGCATACAACTTTTTAGCCATTATACATAGGCTTCAACAAAAGCAGAGCAAATATCATTTGATGTCTATATGCTATCCATTCTTACAGTGAATTCATTATAAGGTTCTCAGTCCATTGCGTTATAGAAGATGCATGTTTTATCCTTCCAATTTGTAATATCAGTCTTCTAGCTGTGTTCTGAAAATCCATTTCCCCTTCCATTTGTCAATTTCTGTGAAGCAGGTAAATAATTTAAAAGAGCTTGTTCATCAGTGAACATTAAAAACTTTTCCAGTCCAAAATTTATCTGTGTAATAACCACTTTCCAAAATAAGTGATGTTGCCAACATAAATGTTTAAAAGAAGCACAGTGGTGGCACACATTCAGAGGTATAGTGGTGTACTTTTTGACTGCACACAGAAGGTTCCAGTATCAGGGGAATGAATACAGACATATAGTAATATAAATAGAGTGACTTGACTTGAATATTCATTTTGGAATTAGCAAGGGCCATATTTGGCTTTCAAAAACAAAACAAGCAACAACCTACAAGGTCAATAAAAAAACAAGAAATATCATTATATTACCATTATTATAACATCGTCTTTATATCCCACCATCTTTCCTCATGCAAGGGACCCAGAGCAGCTTACAAAGTTCTCCTCTTCTCCATTTTGTCCTAGCAGCAACAAGAACCCTGTGAGGTAGCTTAGGCTGAGAGACAGTGGCAAGCCCAAAGTCACGTAGTGGGCTTCTTGGCTGAGTGAGACAAGAACTGAGAGATGTCTTGAGTCCTATTCCAGCACTCTAGCCCTATACTACATCAATGCTCTAATTTGCTACTTTTATAACATGTTTGATTAACTAATTGATATACATTTGGTATTTAACACAGTTATGTTATAAAATAATTTCTTGCATTATTTTTCATGCTCTCTCCTGGGTATAATAGTGTATCTGCTAGAATGGAAATGAATCTGGCCTACTGTTGCCTTTCAGGCACTCCACTTTGCATGACCTTGCTTGGCTAACTGTTTTTTGAGGTTGCTGCAGTACACATCAGATATTTCTGACTGATCTTTTCTTTGTTTCAGTACGAAGCAAATTACGAGAGATAGTAGGAGCGAGTACCAATTGGAGGTATAGTGCATGCAGGTGTTTCTTTAATTGTATTTATTTATTTACAGTTTGTTTATATATATTTATTCCTAAAAGGATCCCAGAACAGCTTTCAAGCATTCATTGTGATTACAGTCCATTTTGTTTGTGGCTGAACTAAGATTTTTACTGGTAACTTCCAGCTCAAAGCCCATGCTTTTAACCCTTAAGTTTTCCCAGCTCTATATTGGTCAATATGTGCTGCAGTTTTCTACCTCTGCCCTAATTATTACCCATACACCACCCCCATTTTGGAATAATTTGATCTGTTTTCCCCTCCCCACTCCAGAGACCATGTGCAAGCCATGAATGAAAGGAAAAGTTTAAGCACTCTCTTAGCTAAAAACCAAGCTGACCTACCTCCTAGGAAAATGAGTGACAGCTACATAGAAGTTATCCTGCCTTTAGGAAGTCAGCCAGAAATAAGAGAGAAGTATCTGAACGTGCACAACTATGTCAGGTAAAAAAAAGTGTTTTTGCTTTTTAAGAAACAGAAGGTAATATTTCCTATTTTGAGCTTTACATAAGAATTTACTTGTTGTGTAATGTTTTAACTTTAATAGGTTTGGACGAATTCTTGAAGATCTTGACAGTTTAGGAGGTATGTAACTGCCTTATAGTTTAATTTATCCAAAGATCTAACATTTGGATAATTGGAGATTATTTCGTTTAGTACTTGGAATATGAATTTTTGTTGAATTTGTAGTTTTGATTGTATCTACGTAGTCTGATTTTTATCTTGTACACTGCCTTGAGAAAGTTCTACCCTAAAAGATGGCCAAATAATAATTTAAAAGTTCTTTGCCGTCTTTAACCCATAAAATTTTGCAAACAATGAATGGAAAGCTGAGGTGTACAACCTGTTCCAAGGTCATACAGGAGAATATGGCTGAGCAGGGATTGGAACTCTGTCCTACAGGACCCTGTCTTGCATTTTCTTCACCCACTGGACCACTAAAACAGAGCTATAATTTGCTTATTGTTACTTGTAACAGCTGTTTATGTCTAGACAAAAATGATGGGTGAGGGAATATAGATAATATACTGGTCTATAGTTGCATCCTTCGATACTTTTCACTTTCTCCCACTTCTGCCTGAGAACAAGCAACGTTTCAGTTAGCTTGGATGGTGACAACAGTGGTGAAAGCTGCTGCATTGATCTTTTTAATATACTGGCAATATTGTTGTAATTTCCTTTTCCTTCAATTTTGCTTGAAGAAATTACAAGCATGTATTGCACATGCTCTCTGATGCTGCAGTAGCAGCTTAACCTTTTTCACAGGTAAGAGGAAAGGTGGCTGATTCTCAGATAATATATATATTTTGGAACTCAGGACTGGGTATAATCCTGAATACACATGAAATTTAATCCAGGTTGCTTGCTGACTTTGTGAGGAAAATGTGATGATGGTTTTATGGAGTTGGCGTGCGAGAGTGCGCTGGTTTCTTTTAGTATAGCCTGTGTAATGCTGTAAATTGGGAATGCGAACATTTATGTGTGAGAGGAAGATGTGTCAGTTTCCATATAGATTTAGCCCATGAATTGCAACAGGCAGGAAAGGTATTTATTCTTACGTCAAATCTTCAACAGAAGTCACAGGAAGTAGTTTGGGGGATACATAAATGCTAATTGCTTTTGTTTGAAATTTATGGTGGCTGGGACCCTGCCCCACCTCAAAAATAAGTCCCATTGTGTTTAGCAGGAGTTACTTTATTTATTTATTTATTTATTAAAACATTTCTATGCCGCCCCTTGCCAGAGCCTCGGGGCGGCTTACAACATCAAATAAAATACACAATAAATTAAAACAATAACAATTAAAATATATACAGTAGAATAAAATAAGCCGCCCTGGCCAAATAAAATTCAATAATATTAACATTTAAAATGCTGCTTAAATAAAAAAGTCTTCGCCTGGTGCCGAAAAACAAATAACGACGGCGCCAGGCGGACCTCTCTGAGGAGCGCATTCCACAACTTAGGTGCCACCGCTGAGAAAGCCCTCCTCCGAGTACCCACCCTCCTAATTTCCTTCACTGAGGGCTCCCGGAGGAGGGCCTCTCCCGCTGATCTCAGGGGGCGGCTGGGGTAAATGTGCACTGGATTGCAGTCCTAGGCTCTGACTCTTGGTAGGACACCAGGGGCTCATTTGGGCACTGCTGCTCAGCATCCTGGCTACCCTGCAGACAATTAGCCAGACCCAGCCTTCCATGTTGGGGCTGGAAGGAAAGGCTGGGGCTCATTTTGGTTGCAGGTGGCCATGGTGCTCTGAGTGGCTTAGTGGCTGTGTCAAAATGGGCAGCCCAGCTTTCTTGTCTAGCTTCCAGCAACAGTATAGGTTTCCTGAAATGTAGGACCACACTTGTGGTGATCCCAGCTCTACACTATGATGACTGGGGCTCCTTTCACCCTGGCAAAGGATGGAAATGTAGATTCCTAATCTTCCATCATGGTGTTCAGCAGGGGTGTTGCTAGGACTGGGCCACGGGACCTCGGCTCTGATCCTGCTCCTCATAGCCTAAGTGCCCCTTGGTGCCAATGGAAGGTTATTTTCTTAGTTTAACTGCTCTCTGTGTGTGTGTGTGTGTGTGTGTGTGTGTGTGTGTGTGTGTGTGTGTGTGAGAGAGAGAGAGAGAGAGAGAGAGAGAGAGAGAGAGAGAGAGAGAGAGA